AAGAAACAAAGAAACCAATGAAACAAAGCAAACAAAGAAAACAAAGACACCAATGAAACAAAGAAAACAAAGAAAACAAAGAAAACAAAGAAACAAACCAATGAAACAAAGAAACCAAAGAAAACAAAGAAAACAAAGAAACAAAGAAACCAATGAAACAAAGAAACCAAAGAAACAAAGAAACCAATGAAACAAAGAAAGCAAAGAAACCCATGAAACAAAGAAAACAAAGAAAACAAAGAAAACAAAGAAAACAAAGAAAACAAAGAAAACAAAGAAACAAAGAAACCAAAAAAACAAAGCAACAAAGAAACCAATGAAACAAAGAAACCAATGAAACAAAGAAAACAAAGAAAACAAAGAAAACAAAGAAACAAAGAAACCAATGAAACAAAGAAAACAAAGAAAACAAAGAAAACAAAGAAACAAAGAAACCAATGAAACAAAGAAAACAAAGAAAACAAAGAAAACAAAGAAAACAAAGAAAACAAAGAAAACAAAGAAAACAAAGAAAACAAAGAAACAAAGAAGCCAATGACACAAAGAAAACAAAGAAAACAAAGAAAACAAAGAAAACAAAGAAAACAAAGAAACAAAGAAACCAATGAAACAAAGAAAACAAAGAAAACAAAGAAAACAAAGAAACCAACGAAAACAAAGAAACCACAGAAACCAAAGAAACCAAAGAAACAAAGAAACCAAAGAAAACAAAGAAAACAAAGAAAACAAAGAAACCAAAGAAAACAAAGAAAACAAAGAACACAAAGAAACCAAAGAAACCAAAGAAAACAAAGAAACCAAAGAAAACAAAGAACACAAAGAAACCAAAGAAAACAAAGAAAACAAAGAAACAAAGACAACAAAGAAAACAAAGAAAACAAAGAAAACAAAGACACCAATTGTCCATTCGAAACCAAAGACCTAGGCAAGTCTTAGAACCTTCGCTCTAAGGTTCACGAGCCCCAGGCCCAGGATGGCACGGGCTGCACGCCAAGCCGTTGAGCCAGTTCCTGCGCCAACGCCCAAGGCCGTGAAAAGGTGCGCGTCTCTTGCTCGAGATTCAGCCAAAAAACGAGTCAACCGTGTTGCAAATATCTGGAATCCGCTAACCCCAAAGAAAGGTTTTCCTATGAAAGGAGCCTTCATGGGTGAGGTGACAAAACCGCTCAGTGAAGTCAGTGTCAGTCCAGAAAAACAACCCTTTCTCATTCATAAGCTTTGCATGCTAGCCTTTTCCAATATCAAACCGAACGAAGGAAAGGACACTTGGCCGTCCGTGCTTTCTTGGGATTGCATATTTTGTCCACACTGCTGCATATTTTGGCAATTGTGCAGGGGAGAGTCACCAACATGGTCTGGGAGCTAGCCAAGTGGTGTGTACCCTCTTCAGTTCACCCCCACTTGATCCCCTAACATGAAATCAAAAACGCAGCCAATTTGCAGACCAAGTGGGATTCAGAGCGGGCACCTCGCAGAAGTGGATGCAGTTGCAGTGGATGAGGTCGTACCTGCATGGTGTTTTGGAACTGCAGTCGGCGTATGGATGCCTTTTCTTTTCCCGAAAGCATTCTTCTCTCAAAAAACACCTGCCAACTAGCGCGATCACACACACACACACACACACACGCGCGCGCAAAAGCACACTTGCACAAGCAAACGCGCACGAGCACACCCGCAGCGCACTTGCACAAGCAAGCTCGCAAAACACTCACACTTGCACGAGCAAATTCGAACGAGCACACTCGCCGGAGCACACTCGCCGGAGCACACTTGAACTGCACGAGCAAACTCGCACGAGCACACCCACAGAAGCACACTTGCACGAGCCAACTCAACCAAGCACACCCGCAGGAGCACAATTCGCGCAAACTTGTGCACGCACACAAGCAGGAGCGACCTTTTGCGAGCGAACCCGCACGAGCAAACCCGGAGGAGCATACTGGCACGAGTAAACTTGCACGAGCAAACCCCCAGAAGCACACTTGCAGGAGCAAACTCAGTTGAACACCCCCAGCAGCGCACTTGCACGAGCAAACTCGCAAAAACACACCCGCAGGAGCACAATTGCACGAGCAACCTCGCGAGCTCGAACGAGCACACTCGCAGGAGCACACCCGCTCGTGTACACTTACACGAGCCAACTCAACCGAGCGCACCTGGAGGAGCACACTTCGAGCAAACTCGTGCACGTGCAGAAGCAGGAGCGACCTTTGGCGAGCGAACCTGCACGAGCAAACCCGGAGGAGCATACTGGCACGAGCAAACTTGCACAAGCAAACTAGCACGAGCACACCTGCACGAGAAAACCTGCACGAGAGGTTGAACTTGTTCTTTGAAGGCGGTGGTGAGACCGAACCCACCGTGCGAAACTGACAATCTCTGCGGGGTTCGGGGTGCTCGACGTGCAAAAACTGGAGTGTTTTGCAAATATTGGCGGTGTTTGCGCTGAGCACGCCCCTTTGCATTGAGAACGCGTGCTAAAAACGTGCACAGAGCAACTAGCAGGGAGATAGTTGCACAGAGAGCTTGTGCAGAAAAACTTGCGCAGAGCACTTCCACAGAGAAACTTGCACCGAGAGCTCGCCCAGAGAACTTGCAGCTATAACTTGCGCAGAGAAACTTGCATCGAGAACTTGGGTAGGTAAACTTGAGCAGAGCCGAGAACTTGCAAAGACATCTTGCGCAGAGAAACTTGCGTCAAGGACTTGCGTAGACAAGTTTGTGCAGAGAAATTTGAGCCGAGAACATGCGCGGAGAAGCTTGAAGATCTTGCGCAAAACAACTTGCCGAGTGAACTTGCGCAAAGACCACTAGCGCAGACAACATGAATATGAATATATGTTATGCTTTCGGGCCACGCGTCCTTCGAGCTTTTTTAGAAGAACACCAGCTGGCTCACGACATGTGTGGCACATGTTTTTACCGATCAACTGCAAGTGACGGAGCTTTGAGGCAACTAAAACAACACTGCGAGCTTGAGTCAGCTAGAATCATCTAGATACTAACTATGAAACTTGCAAACGTTGCCTGATTCTTCACTTGCAGCTAGCCTGAAGAGCCACTTAACCACAGAACCGACACCTGAAGGCAAGAGTCCAGCACTGCGGAGTCGTTTAAGCCTCCTACACTTGACATGATAATGATAGTGGAACAGCAACAGAACCTTGCATACGCTTGCTCTGAAGGTCATGCTCACCCATCATTGCTGGCCTAACTGTTCATCCTGCCGATGCTGGCAGGAGAACAGTGGAGCGCCAATCAAAACTTGGTATTGACACCCTAGACCATGTAAAGAATGAAGCGGGTGGCCGCACCCATTTAGGCTTGAGAGTGTCCACTGCTAATCTTCCTTCACCCAGGTTTTGATCGCGGCTTTGCTGATTGCCAACGTTCAGAAGGCCGGCATGCGGAGAGGTCTCAGGTGGGTCACGAGCCACAATGAAAACATGTCAAAACGAATTCTTCCCCGAGGACATGGGAGATTTAGTGAGCTTTGTGGGAATCCCAAACGAACTATAGACTGGAACATTTGACCGAACCTGTGGAACATCCAATCCATGCAGACTAAAAGACAGCATTTGCAGCAAGCAAAGCACAACTGACTACTACAACAAAAGTAGAACATGAAGTGGGGCGTGAGTACTGAGGAGCCAGCCTGCAACAGCTTGACAACACTCTTGTCCCCGACTCCCAGTGGCATAGTGACAGCGATGGCGACAGAGACGCTTGTTTTGGGGTCTTCATTTGTAGTGAACCTCCCAAAGCTACAAGCGACTGACCACCGCTCTTCCTGTGGAGCAACTCAACTCGGATGGCAACTTGGGAAAGGGCCCAACGAATCCATCAGCCCCGCCTGCGGCCCGGCCATTCCTTCGCCACTTGGGTCCTCATGAGGCGCATCGTTTGAGTCTCCTGCAGGCTGGAGGCGCTCCATGGCCGCTGAAAATAGGGACTGAGCCTTCTTTTCGGTGAGAAAGGCTTGAAATCGCTATGGACGAAGCCCTGCCCACGTGGAAGTAGACATTTTCACGGGTATAAGTTCAATAGGGATCCTTTGGTGGATCATTTGATTGGGGTGTCAAAGAAAACAATTTTTTAGGGTGTCCCAAGTGGAGCCAGCCTCATGAAGTATCCTCTAGAGTGAGAGTTGGCTAGGTTGGCCTTGTTTTTGTGGCTATCATTGCCATGGCAAAAATCGCAATCGATGAAGGGTCTAGGATAGATTGAGGATAGATTGAGGATAGATTGAGGGCGGGTTGGTGCTCTCCCTTCTGTCTGCTTTGGGAACTTCAACTCAAATTCAGCCAGGTGACTGATGACCAGAGATGCGACACACTCTGTGTCCCCCCCCATTGCAACGCTCGCAAACACTTTGCCCGGGATGTATGTCACGGCTTCATAATGATAAGGAGGCCACTGCTGGCGATTCTTCTGAGTTCGCCTAACTCCAAATTTGCAACCCATGCCTGTGGCACAGGTGGAGTATGCCTTGTCCCTTTAGAGAAAACCAGAGCTTGACCACTCCAGTTTCCACAAGAGTTTGCACTCCGGTGATCAAAGGATCAAAGTAATCTATATGAAACCTTGGCACGGACACCTTGGTCCCATGAAACGTGGCGGCTTACTTTAGGGAAACCCCTGGTTTCTGATATGTTACATAGATGTACCGCCAGCCTAGGAAAGTGGGATTCTGCCAACCTTGCCAAAAGGAATGTACACTGAGGTAGTTAGGTAGCTACTTCATTCCGCAAGCCGGGCAATCGATTTGCGACAGTCTAAAACGGAAATGACTGGCTTCCTGTGGGTCTCTCTTGAAAAAAAACCGCAATGTGCAGGGACGAATCAAGCGAAGCCTTTTGTCCCAAACTCGCTGGCAGCGGGCGGGGCTGGGTCACCTGTATGACCGGTTTGTGTTGAATTTCCTACACGCTTCTGAACGCAATGCTCGGCAGGTTCTTTCTTGTTTCACAAACTGCCGTCCCACGATGGTATTGAACATGTGCGGCGCGCACATCACGCTTTCCAATGCGGAAGCACATTTCTGCGGGCTCCGCGGTGTGTGTGGAACCGGTGAGCATCGACGCTTCATGGCTGCACGCGTGGCCCAGCTGGGGCGTGCAGCCAGTGGCTAGGCGTCAGGGTCCTCGGTGCGATCAAATCGCAGAATGCACAAGGCTTCCTTCAACTGTGCAGGTCTTCACTCATGGAGCAGGTTGCAATATGAGAGGCTGCATTCCTTTGCTATCAAGCTGTGCATCGCAAAACATTGGACTGCCAGTGTTGGCTGGAAGCAACAAAACGAACAGCGACTCGGTCTCCCGTCGAAACAAGGTCACCCCGGCTAGCTATGGAACTGTCCTTGCGCTGTGGGCTTACGGGCTTCCAGGATGAAGGATAATTCCTGCCTATAGAAGGAGCCATGAGGGATGAGGATTTCCTGCTGTCGGTTTTCTTTCTTGTATCATGCCAGTGAAGAATGGGAGGCAGCTTAAAGCGAACAAACATGCGGCGAAGGCTTCGCAATGTCTGCCATGCTTTTCCTTGCTTTTTGAGATGGGCTTTGAAGAATCTTGACACATCTGCCTTGCGACGGACATCTCGTCTTCCAATGGGACAAGTTCCAAACATTCGCGCGCGCCTGCATAGCGCCTTGCATGCCGAGCGTCCAAGACGACTTGAGAGGTCGGGAAGGTCCCACCTTGGGAGAGAAAGGCGAAGTCACGCGGCCTCTTGGCACAGAAAAACAACACCTTTTACCCCGTCTCTATTTATCAAATGGGGCATGTTGATGTCTGATTGTCCCGCGGAAAACAACAAGCGAAACGATCCTCCAATTGCACACCTTCGCTCCTCTCTTCACTCACTAGCCGCAGGAACAAGGCTGGCCGTTTCGCCCCATGCATGGCGCGCAGGCGCTTGAGGCAGTCGCTTGAGGCAGTTGAAAAATTGCTGGCCGTTCCACTTCAGTGAACGATTCAGCGTAGCAGACTTTTGCTGGCCATGGTGGTTCATCCACCAACAGAAACCATACCAGTTGAACAGCATATGATGGTTCACCGTATCTTAATTTGGTGCTACTCTCTGGCGGACACGGTTGTTCCTTTGGTGCTGACTTTGCTTGTTGTATCTACATACTACTGCAGGAAATTGCACTGCGAAGGAAAGCCAACAGCAGAGTCAGTCATTGGAAAGGGTGGGATGCGCAAACACATGATAGTTTCAAACATGCAGCCGCATAAAAACATGACACTTCCAAACATGATTTGTCAATGAGTCTACCCAACACCACTTAAAATGTCAGAAGGCTTTTTCCACCTGTTTATGGTTGGGATTGTCCCCTATTAGCCTCCAATTAACTGGGTATTGATGCGTGGCTCAAACGGGAAAGCAAAGTATGCGTCGGGACTAAGATTGGCTGGCTTGGGTGCAGTTTTGACCACTTCATGATCGCTCCACGATCACTTCATGATCACTGAACATGTTGTCTTCGTGCGAAGATTTCACAAGCTCTGTTTACATAATCAAAAGGCTCATGTTCTTGCTGCTTCCCGCGTGGACATTTTTTTATCGGTGGCTGCGGTCCACTTCCCGTGCCTCTAATCGTGTCGAAGGCAATCCTGGCAATTCTAAGCTGCAACCCCTGGCTCGATGGTTGACTTCTGGCAGCTCGAAGGACTTCACTGGCTCGAAGCGCGGCCAGAGCGATCGTCTGGGACTCGCGCCAACCTCCGCCATGTTCGGCACAAAGACACCTCGCAAATGGACGAACGCAGCGTGCGGGACAATCTCTACAGCTCAAGCTGCAAAGCCACAGCTTTGTGAAAGCTGCACGCCACAAGATGATAGCAGTTGACACAACTTCAGAGCAGTGCTGAGATGGCTGTAGGCCCTTGAGCTTGAAAGCTGCAACATTTTGGGAACAACAGATGGACGACCCAAAAAACCGGCGTGCTTTGATATCTTTGCACCTCAGCTTGGTTGCCACTCTGTTGCCAGGAGAGTGCCGCTGGACGCTAATGCTTAAGGCTGGCCAATTCTTGCCGCAAGCATTGATCGTCCTGGGAGTGCGCCGCCGATTGCATCCGGGCACAAAGCATAAAGGAAAACACATTCTTTGCCACCTGTCAAGAAGAATGCCATTGTCTTGCAGCAACGAGGTTTCAGCAACAACAGCTGTCCAGTGCCCAACAAGGTGATGTTCAACCCTCCTCCCCTCCCACCCTCCGTTATGGAGGGGGAGCATGTTAGGCCCCCGTTGAAGCAAAACTATGTACGGAGGGGGTGGCCCACATTTCTCCCAGGACCTCAAATCCTTGGCCGCATCGCTTCACCAAGCTGTCCCTTTCCCGATCCCTTGAGGATGCTGCGGTGCGGCGTCGGCGTTGAAGGCGCGAAGAGACTGGGCGTGGCCACCATCCGATACTTTTGACATGGCATCGATGAAGCGTGCGCAAAGTTTCCAAATGACCCAGCTACATGTGAGAAAAGATGAAGAAACATATGAACCACACCCCTTGGCGCGAAAGCTTGCAATGAGCTCGATCGGTTGAGCTCCTTCTGCCCCACGCGCAGATTCGCTTTGGGCAGGACGCGACCAGCATGTCCAACGCCAAGAGGAATCTCCGTCCAACAGTTTGACTTCCACAATGTGAGTGAGGTCTGCAACCACCACATCTGGAGACACTAGCAGGGAAGCCTTTTCGAGAGACAAATTTGACGCAACGGCAAAAACTGAAATGTGGGATATTTTTGAGATCGCGGCAACAAGCGAGCAAACGCATGCGAGTCTCGTGCCGGGGGTGGTGTGTGTGTGTGTGTGCGGAGTGGCAGAATACCCTGCCACCACCTTGAGGATCTAGTTGTCACCGCAGGGGGCCACCGGGGGCCAGGGAGGGCGGTGGCCAACGAAGACCCCTCCCTGGTCCGTGCAAACGTACCTGCCTGTGATGAAATGTCCTTTTGGTCCTCCCCTGTTCAAGTAGCTACAGGGAAGCCGAGTGCATCGCGAGCCGAAACTTCACCCACTCGAGATGTACTCGAAGGATTAGCACCCTCCCTTGGGAGTTGAAGTGTGATCGCCCCATCTTGGGGGAACCTCGGGTGTACCCATCGTGTGACCCCGGGCCGGTTCGCCGGAAAATTTGACCTCAACGTTCATATCATACCAGCGGAATTTCACGTTTAAGCAGGAACGTGGTTTCACTAAAGGGAAGACAGCCACCAGATCATAGTGACGTCTCACGGGCGCCTGGGCGCTGCTTGCTGATCTTTTCATGCTTTGCCTTGTGTTGATTTGTACTTGGCATGATCTTGCGTTGTCATGGAATTGAAGCTTGTCGGTCTTAGTCTTTCTCAAGGTTGATTTGTGCCATCACCTGGGTTCGCTGAGTCGTCATGTCCCGCCGTGATGATCGTGATCCGACTCGCAAAGCTCGCAGACGAGAATATGACACCATCATGGTCTCAGACGGCATGGATTGGTCCAACCCGATGATGTGGCAGCACAATCCGAACATCAATCCTCCCAGTTCCACGCCGCAGTCGCAGACCAACTACCTGCAACCTCCTTCCCCTCCGTTGGCGCAGTTACATCATTCGGCGCCGTGCTTCCACCAGTACCCGCTGATTAACTACTCAATGCCGTTCCCTCCGGAGCCCGAACCCACCAAGAACATCAAAACGACAATCGATGAAGTTGTGCAACGGCGTACTTTGTCTACCTTCCTGGAAACTTTGACGTTTGTCTCAGCATGCTGGTGGTTTTGCTTCCCGGAACTACCTCGACCTCCAGTACCCGCAGATGAATTTGAACAATCTTGCAACATGAGGACTGAGTTTCAGCGCAGTGGAATCTTCGATGAAGTTGTGCAATGGCGTACTTTGTCTACCTTCCTGGAAACTTTGACGTTTGTCTCAGCATGCTGATGGTTTTGCTTCCCGGAACTACCTCGACCTCCAGCGCCCGCAGATGAATTTGAACAATCTTGCAACATGTGGACTGAGTTTCAGCGCAGTGGAATCTTTGATGAAGTTGCGCATGTCTACCTTCCTGGAAACTTTGACGTTTGTCTCAGCATGCTGGTGGTTTTGCTTCCCGGAACTACCTCGACCTCCAGCACCCGCAGATGAATTTGAACAATCTTGCAACAGGTGAGCTGAGTTTCAGCGCAGTGGAATCTTCGATGAAGTTGTGCAATGGCGTACTTTGTCTACCTTCCTGGAAACTTTGACGTTTGTTTCAGCATGCTGGTGGTTTTGCTTCCCGGAACTACCTCGACCTCCAGTACCCGCAGATGAATTTGAACAATCTTGCAACATGTGGACTGAGTTTCAGCGCAGTGGAGACTTCGATGAATTTGCGCAATGGCGTACTTTGTCTACATTCCTGGAAACTTTGACGTTTGTCTCAGCATGCTGGTGGCTTTGCTTCCCGGAACTACCTCGACCTCCAGTACCCGCAGATGAATTTGAACAATCTTGCAACATGTGGACCAATGGCGTACTTTGTCTACCTTCCTGGAAACTTTGACGTTTGTCTCAGCATGCTGGTGGTTTTGCTTCCTGGAACTACCTCGGCCTCCAGTACCCGCAGATGAATTTGAACAATCTTGCAACATGTGGACTGAGTTTCAGCGCAGTGGAATCTTCGATGAAGTTGTGCAATGGCGTACTTTGTCTACCTTCCTGGAAGCTTTGACGTTTGTCTCAGCATGCTGGTGGTTTTGCTTCCCGGAACTACCTCGACCTCCAGTACCCGCAGATGAATTTGAACAATCTTGCAACATGTGGACTGAGTTTCAGCGCAGTGGAGTTTTCGATGAAGTTGTGCAATGGCGTACTTTGTCTACCTTCCTGGAACCTTTGACGTTTGTCTCAGCATGCTGGTGGTTTTGCTTCCCGGAACTACCTCGACCTCCAGTACCCGCAGATGAATTTGAACAATCTTGCAACATGTGGACTGAGTTTCAGCGCAGTGGAATCTTCGATGAAGTTGTGCAATGGCGTACTTTGTCTACCTTCCTGGAAACTTTGACGTTTGTCTCAGCATGCTGGTGGTTTTGCTTCCCGGAACTACCTCGACCTCCAGTACCCGCAGATGAATTTGAACAATCTTGCAACATGTGGACTGAGTTTCAGCGCAGTGGAATCTTCGATGAAGTTGTGCAATGGCGTACTTTGTCTACCTTCCTGGAAACTTTGACGTTTGTCTCAGCACGCTGGTGGTTTTGCTTCCCGGAACTACCTCGACCTCCAGCACCCGCAGATGAATTTGAACAATCTTGCAACATGTGGACTGAGTGGTGCTGTTTTGCTGTCTTGCGTGCTTGTGTGTTGTTCGTTGCGTTAGCAGTTTCTCTTGCGCTCGCAGCTGGATCGGATACCGTGGCGCAACCCTTCCTTCACCGCAGCATGGAATCCCGGGACTTGGATGGGGACAAGAATGGGTGAAGGTCTACAATCCTGGGGAACCTCGACTATGCAATGGCGTACTTTGTCTACCTTCCTGGAAACTTTGACGTTTGTCTCAGCGTGCAGGTGGTTTTGCTTCCCGGAACTACCTCGACCTCCAGTACCCGCAGATGAATTTGAACAATCTTGCAACATGTGGACTGAGTTTCAGCGCAGTGGAATCTTCGATGAAGTTGTGCAATGGCGTACTTTGTCTACCTTCCTGGAAACTTTGACGTTTGTCTCAGCATGCTGGTGGTTTTGCTTCCCGGAACTACCTCGACCTCCAGTACCCGCAGATGAATTTGAACAATCTTGCAACATGTGGACTGAGTTTCAGCGTAGTGGAATCTTCGATGAAGTTGCGCAATGGCGTACTTTGTCTACCTTCCTGGGAAACTTTGACGTTTGTCTCAGCATGCTGGTGGTTTTGCTTTCCGGAACTACCTCGCCCTCCAGCACCCGCAGATGAATTTGAACAATCTTGCAACATGTGGACTGAGTTTCAGCGCAGTGGAATCTTCGATGAAGTTGTGCAATGGCGTACTTTGTCTACCTTCCTGGAAACTTTGACGTTTGTCTCAGCATGCTGGTGGTTTTGCTTCCCGGAACTACCTCGACCTCCAGTACCCGCAGATGAATTTGAACAATCTTGCAACATGTGGACTGAGTTTCAGCGCAGTGGAATCTTCGATGAAGTTGCGCAATGGCGTACTTTGTCTACCTTCCTGGAAACTTTGACGTTTGTCTCAGCATGCTGGTGGTTTTGCTTCCCGGAACTACCTCGACCTCCAGTACCCGCAGATGAATTTTTAAACAATCTTGCAACATGTGGACTGAGTTTCAGCGCAGTGGAATCCTCGATGAAGTTGTGCAATGGCGTACTTTGTCTACCTTCCTGGAAACTTTGACGTTTGTCTCAGCATGCTGGTGGTTTTGCTTCCCGGAACTACCTCGACCTCCAGTACCCGCAGATGAATTTGAACAATCTTGCAACATGTGGACTGAGTTTCAGCGCAGTGGAATCTTCGATGAAGTTGTGCAATGGCGTACTTTGTCTACCTTCCTGGAAGCTTTGACGTTTGTCTCAGCATGCTGGTGGTTTTGCTTCCCGGAACTACCTCGACCTCCAGTACCCGCAGATGAATTTGAACAATCTTGCAACATGTGGACTGAGTTTCAGCGCAGTGGAATCTTCGATGAAGTTGCGCAATGGCGTACTTTGTCTACCTTCCTGGAAACTTTGACGTTTGTCTCAGCATGCTGGTGGTTTTGCTTCCCGGAACTACCTCGACCTCCAGTACCCGCAGATGAATTTAAACAATCTTGCAACATGTGGACTGAGTTTCAGCGCAATGGAATCTTCGATGAAGTTGTGCAATGTCGTTATTTGTCTACCTTCCTGGAAACTTTGACGTTTGTCTCAGCATGCTGGTGGTTTTGCTTTCCGGAACTACCTCGGCCTCCAGTACCCGCAGATGAATTGTCTCAGCATGCACGTGGTTTTGCTTCCCGGAACTACCTCGACCTCCAGTACCCGCAGATGAATTTGAACAATCTTGCAACATGTGGACTGAGTTTCAGCGCAGTGGAATCTTCGATGAAGTTGTGCAATGGCGTACTTTGTCTACCTTCCTGGAAACTTTGACGTTTGTCTCAGCATGCTGGTGGTTTTGCTTCCCGGAACTACCTCGACCTCCAGTACCCGCAGATGAATTTGAACAATCTTGCAACATGTGGACTGAGTTTCAGCGCAGTGGAATCTTCGATGAAGTTGTGCAATGGCGTACTTTGTCTACCTTCCTGGAAACTTTGACGTTTGTCTCAGCATGCTGGTGGTTTTGCTTCCCGGAACTACCTCGACCTCCAGTACCCGCAGATGAATTTGAACAATCTTGCAACATGTGGACTGAGTTTCAGCGCAGTGGAATCTTCGATGAAGTTGTGCAATGGCGTACTTTGTCTACCTTCCTGGAAACTTTGACGTTTGTCTCAGCATGCTGGTGGTTTTGCTTCCCGGAACTACCTCGACCTCCAGTACCCGCAGATGAATTGAACAATCTTGCAACATGTGGACTGTGTCTTCTGATGCATCCACCTTCTCCGCCGAGGATCTGACCCGTCTATAAGCGGGGATTGGCCAGCAGCTTGCGGATCGATTGTGGCAAGCATCGACTCCTCATCAGCCAGTATGCTCTGCTCAAGACGCGGATCAGCTTCAGTCTGAACCTGAAGGACTCGCTGAACCCTATCCGCCCACAGGCCGCCCTTGCAGTTCGAACGTCAAGTGGAAGTCCATTTTTCATGCTGCAAAATGGCGTCAACATGAAGACGTGCCTGCTCTACCGGATAACATTTTTTTGGTAGACACTACGAGGTTGCTGATTTGGTCTTCCGGATGCAAAAGGTTTTGTTCGCCCCTCCTGGAGGGGCGTGTGTGTGTGTGGAGTGGCAGGGCCAGGGAGGGCGGTGGCCAACCAAGACCCCTGACTCGTCCCGTGCAAACGTACCTGCCTGTGATGAAGTGTCCTTTTGGTCCCTTCCCTGAACCGCTGTTGCTTCTCTGTGCCCCTGTTCAAGTAGCTACAGGGAAGCCGAGTGCATCGCGAGCCGAAACTTCACCCACTCGAGACTCATCGGGTACAAGAGGACTAGCACCCTCCCTTGGGAGTTGAAGTGTGTGTGTGTGTGTGCGCGTATTTTGATGAACGTGTCAGACCGCGGTGCATGCAAAGGTTTGGCGCAGGCGCAGAGGACGCGAAGTCCGGAGTATGCAAACGCACCACGAATAACGGTGTTTTGTGGGGTTCGTGGCCAACTGGCCTCTTCCAAGTGCTGTCAAAGCTGCGTACTCGTGCTTAGGAACTTGGATACGCAGGGTTGGCAGGCGTGGCGCTTCTCACACGCACTTTTGTGGTCTCAGGCTGTAGATTGCTGCTCTTTGCGCGAAGCCAAGAGAGGTCTGCGTGGTCTATTTTGCGTTGGGCAAAACCCGTGCAGGCGCAGCATATTCTCGACCGCCAGGCCTCTGGATGTGTGCATGATGGGTCGGACCTTCTGAGAAGAGCTGGCTGCGCCTGAGCTACTGCTTCAGCAGCGCACCCATAAAGTCAGCGCCCGCCATGTGCTTGGTCTGCTCGGAGCGTTAAGCTACAAACTTCATTTTCGAATGCTTGAAGGACTGGGGCCACGATGGGGGGTTTTCTTCAGCCTCAGGTTGGTCCGGGCCACCAGGGGGGATTTTCTCCAGCTCGGGTAATGCTTGGAAGGAAGCTGGTTCAACCCTCTGCAATCATTGGCTCAGCCCATGAGACAAGCGTATGACTACTGGCAGGAAGCTCCTTCGCAGGAACGCAAGGTTTGCCAGGGGATTTTCTCCAGCCTCGGAGGAAAAGTCTGTCGGGTGGAAGGCCAAGAACAAATTGGTTTTCTGCACCTTGCGGGGCCATTATGGGGGATGTTCTCCAGCCCCGGGTTGGCCTGGTGGGGCCAGTCTGGGAGATGTTAGCGGCTGCCGGGCGGGTGCCGCAAATGTGCTGGGGTGCCCTGGGTGCCCTGGGTGTCGGCATCAGGCGGCACTCAGCGCTTCCGCCAGCTCCGCGTTTGCCGCTGCGCGCGCTTGTCATGTTGGCGTCTGGCAAGCTGCTGCGCGCACTGTTTACTTCCAGAATCCGTGATGGAAACGCTTTACTGGCTTTGCGCAAGCTGTGCCCAGGGTGTCACCACACGACACGTGCCATGGACCACATACTCACGTTTTCTGGCCAGGGATATGTCAATGTGTGGCTGTGTCTTGCCAGAAGTCACCAAACGTAATCATCCCCCCTCCCCCGCTCCCCATCACCGACGCTGAAGTCCCATCTACCCAACATGTTATCGCGTGGGCAAAGCTGCAGGTGCAGCTCGTAGCCACTAGCTGCAATCAAATTCAGAGGGTCCCGTCTCTGTGCAATGTCTCGCAGTTGTGCCATCTCGCTGCGCGTAATCTTGGTGTGGTGTGCGCCATCACTGTGTCCAATTTATGTGTGTGCTCTATCAGTGTAATGCGGTGTGAGCTGCTTATTATGCAGCTTTCTCTGTGCACGTTATCTGCACGCAATGTCTCTGTGCAGTCTCTCTGTGTGTTCCCCATCTCTCTCTGTATGTGAAAGCTGTCTGTTCAAACTTGATTTCTCTCCGCAATCTCCTCATGCAACTTGTCTGTTCAAAGATCGCGCGATCGGAAGAGCCCTTCATCATTTTTTGGCTGAACACACCAGTTTATTGGGATCCCAACACCCACCATGCCTTGGGTTTTGCGAGAATCACTCGGCAACAAAAACTCCAAATGGTCTCATTCGGGAAAGCAAGAGGGAAGGGAAGGTTGCACCATGGCAGTTTCGGGCGTCAGCTGATAGAGCGTCGGAAGCTGAAGGCCCCCCGCTCCAGCAAAGCCGCGCAAGCGACACAAAGCCCTTGGTGCTGGCCAGAGTTCAACTTCTTCCCGCGCGGTGGGGTAGCTGGTAGCTTCTTGTGGGCTATCTGGAGGATTCTCAGGTTCTGGGGCTGTGGATACTCCTTGAGCTTCCCATCCAATAAAAAATTGGTCCTGAAACACGAGGCCTTTTCTGCATGCTCCGTGGGTTTTCTAATTGCCTGTATTCTTTTGGAGTCAATCTCCACAGCTGGCCACGGAGTTGAGATTCTACAAACAAGAAGCTTGTAAAGCTTGCAGCTACCTCCACTTTCTGCACACATGCCCGCGTGTATGCGCAAATTGAGGCAGGCATTGTACCATGTGCTGGCTGCCCACACAGTGTGAGCAGTAGACATATGCTGTTACCTGCAATGGACATGGGAAACGTAGCGAGCGTCCGCAGTCCCTCGCAGATTTACTACAGACCACCGTACGTTTGACTGAACTTGGCGCTTCGCCCTCAACCTGCAGACAGCAGCGGCCAACGCTGCGGTCACCAAGAAACAAATCATTCGAACTCAGCGCCCTGGGGACGACAACATAAACAAGTACATGCATGAAGTTTCGCTCAATTCCATCTACTGGCTGTTGTGTTTTTGGCTTACACACCTCACAGCCGCTTGGCTGCAGGAAAAGGTCCGTCTTTCCAAAAGCGGCAAACATCCGTCAAATCACCTAGGTTCTCCAGTAGAGAGGTTAGAATAAGGGTACCAACTTTCTTTCTGTAGTCTATTTTAGTAGGGGAACCCTCCCAACCAAAAAAGGGGTGAGAAAGGGCACTACTGGGGGACCTAGTCACTTTCCCCCACTTGCAACGATGCAGTGGGGTGCTTTCTGAGGCGAGCACCGAAGGCGATCAAGACCAGGTCCACGAGGTTCGCAGAGGAAAACACCGACCTAGGCCGGCGGCTGAGCGCTTGACCTCCAGCTGAGACGTGGGAAAGCTTCAAATTCTGTGAGCGTACAATGCTGATGACCCATGCCGACAAAAAGGAACGCCTGCCACCCCAACAAGCAAGCTTTAATTACCCTTCTGCACGTCATGCCATCCCAATGATCAAGGAAAAGGATGCAGCCTGACAGTAGCCTTCTCTAAGAACCTACAACCTGAGCAAACAAAACAAGCAGCCAAAGACTGACGACCCAAGTCCAAACCGCTTCGCAAGAGATGCACAGGCCAGTGCCTGAACTGAAGTCAAATCTGCACAATCAACCCTACAATCACCCCTACAACTTTGCGGCTCTTCTTTGATGCAGTGCTATTGACTCTTGTAAGGTCGATCCGTCTGAGGCCCTTACACGCCCTCCTGCGGGGATGGATGGGAATGTGCCCCCCCCCCCCCCCGGATACTGCGAAACATATGCTTCCTTGCAACAATGGGGCCAATCTGTCAGCCAATTGGCTTTAGCAGAATGAGACTCGCACCATTCCACAGTACTTGTCAGAGGTTCCCGGTCATCATTCGCCAACTCTACGAGTTGATCGAAGTACAAGCTTGATCAGACCTTTCGCTCTTACTTCGGCGAACTTTATGGCAACCGTTCCAGCCTTTTGCCTCACAAACGCAGGTGAGTTCTAGTTGCACTGGCAGTCATGAAATAAAGCCGTCCCCTCCGTTTTTTTCTGAGCAAGCGGAGAATGCCACTTAGCAGGATGGGCACCGGTCCTGAGGACATTATGGAAGATTCCATCTGCCCATAACAGCTATTAACCTTGACTTGAACTCTGGGTGAGTGGGTACCCTGGATGTGTCAAAGCAGAGTGGATGTCAGATTTTGACCTTCGCATCACACACACACACACCAAAGGCTTGCGTTATCAAGAAAACACCATCTCAATCACGGACAATAGCCTTTGGGGCCCCAACACCTGGGAAAATTGGGTTCTCTCAACTCCTTGCTGTGGGAGATGTGGTCTGTGCCTGTCTCAGATGACCAATCTATTGTCAGTTCGTGAGGTGAATTCTTTCCGATGCCCGCCAGACCTAAGCGCAAACGGCACTTTTGGCGTTTGGGCTGTGGAGAGGCATGGAGTCTTCCAAGGCGGGAAGGTTGAAGGTCTCACCACAGAGCCAAGTTTCCGCGAGGACTCGCAACGAAACCGAAGCTGTTGGGAAGAGCGCGCAAATGGCATACATCTCACTTAATGTTTGGGTGTTTCAAGGTGGTGCATGTTCGAATCTGTTGGTTTGGCTCTCTTTGGTGTGCCTTGACAGTATCACAGGAGACAAAAAGGGTATGAATTTTCGTTGGAGACCCATTGGTGCGCATCAAGGTGCGGTTCTTATTGAAACCAATAGCAACAACTCCTCATTCCAAGATCGTTGGCTGGTTCACAACGACTTTCCGGGGCTTAAGTTAAGGCTACACAACTATCTCAGCCAAATTCTCGGACATGTCCCAGCTTAAGCTCTATGATCATACAATCTGGGCCAGCCTTAGACCCCCAACTGTTTATTTTCTGGTTGAAAGGGAAATGATAGGCTAAACAAGAAGGCTAAGTCTGGAAAACCCTGCCCTTGTTTCAGTGGTCGCATCAAGCGCTCACGTCTTACTGGGAGCAAACACAATGGGTCAAACCTTGTGCCACCTTTGCGGCAAGTTGGCCTTTGGTATACCTCCAAATGCGGAATCCTACACTTTTAGGGATAGGGTGTTTCGTATTTTTGACCAAACATGACCAGCAAAAATGCACTGCCCATTTTGCTTTTGCCCAAAATGACATCTAAAACTACCAACATGCAACATATAGGAGGGAGCCTAAAACGGACCATGGACCCGAGCATTGGGGAATTCAAGTCTCTCCTGGCGCCGTCGAAGCTCAATGAGGAAGGAGCAGGGCAACACGAAGGCCAGCGCCTAGGGGCCCTAATGTTTCGAATCGTCGGCGATGCGTCAGATGCCGACAGGATAACTTTTTAGGACTATCAAACAACATGGGCCAGAGTTCAGGTTGACTCACCTGTACCACACATACCAGGCACACACACACACACACACACGCAAACACGCTAACACACAAACACAAACACACAAACCAAACACATAAACACATAAACACACAAACACGCACAAACACACAAACAAACCCACAAACACACGCAAACACACATACACACACACACACATGCAAATACACACGCACAAACACAAACATAAACACAAACACACTCAAAAAAACGCACAGAGACACGTAGAGACCGTAGAGAGGCACAAAGACACAGAGAGACACAGAGATAAACAGAGACACATACAGACACGCGCGGACACAGACACACAGACTCACACACACAAACGCACACAGACACACATACACACGCCCGCACACAGGCACACGCACACAAACACACCAAAGAAGACAAACAAACAAGCACGCAAACAACCCCGCGCAGAAACATACGATCGACACACATACAAACAAACAAAACAAACAAAACAGAACAAATCCGCACCAACCAAACGAACAATCCAAGAACCAAGGAAGGAATCCAAATTTACAACAAACAAACACAAACAGACAGAGCGACATAACCCAAGAACAAGAAAGAAAAAGAACAAAAGAAAGAAAGAAAAAGAACAAAAGAAAGAAAGAAAGAAAGAAAGAACGAAAGAACGAAAAAGAAAGAAAGACGTAAACAAAGAGATAAATAACAACATAAAGAAAAATATAAAGAACGAACAAAACAAAAAACAGATGCAAACAAGAAAATAACAGAAACAAGAAAGAATTAAAGAAAAGAAAGAAATAAATAAAGAACTAAATAAAGAAAGAAATAAAGAAAACCAAGAAACAGAGACAGAAACATAGAAACACCAACACACAGAAACAAAGACACAAAACACCAACCAACCAACCAAACAAGCAAACAGAGAAACAAACAAACAAACAAACAAACAAACAGACAGACAGACAGACAGACAGACAAACAAACAAACAAACAAAACAAAACACAGAAATAAACAAAGACTCAATCAAAAACAACAAGCAACCAAACAGACAAAGAAGCAACGTGTGCAAACAAGCAAGCAAACAAGCCAGCAAACAAGCAACCAAGCAACCCACAAAATTAACACAGAACGAACAAACACGGAATTCAGAAAACCAGAACTTCACAAACAAAGAAATAAGCACCGCAAGCAACTAAACCACAAACCCAAGAACGGACAAGCAAGCAATCAAGAAACCAAGCAAGAAAGCAGAGTGGCATTCGGCTCTGGCGACCGAATCTGTGTCCAGCGCTACATGCAGAACATGACGGTGAATATGGATCTTTTTAGACAAATTCTGTGGCAAAAGTCTGGGTGGACGAGAATAAGTCGTTCCACAACAAAGGGACCTGCGGGGTGAGCGAAATCGGGGCGCAAAACCTTTGCGAGGTCGTGACTTAATTCGCTGAGCCTGGGGTTCCCACCATCGTCGCCCAAACCTGGCGTGGCGACTTACGCAGCAGAACCTCCCGTGACCAAAACATCAAAACTTCTGCAGGTTTCCCTTAGGCATCCAACAGTATCCACATCCACGGAATCCTTTGCAATGGGCATGTTTCTGGAGATGCCCACAGATCTTCCTTCAATGGCTGCTTTGCCCCGGGCCATGTTGACCAAACTGTCTGCACCAAGGGCTGTCTGGACACCTTTAGTGTTCAGACACTGCGCAGTCTCGGCGAGCCGAACAAGTCGACCGCACGTGTGGGGGCGGGGGTGGTTGGCCCTTGATGAGTGATTGTTGGAAATGCACATGCAACCGGTTGTCTGGGACAAACTGAGTGCTCAAATGTGGAAGTCCGTTCCTACTGGTTTCTCCAAACAACCCGTGTCTTGAACATACACAAGCAATTTGTCAATTGGCTAAGAAATTCCTGGAATACCTTCGAGGCTTGGTAAAGGGATCTGATCTAGCTTGTCTCTTCTGCTTGCGCACTGCGATGCAGTGGGTCCTTGAAGGGTCTATGGGCCGGTTGTAAATGAATCAGGCCATAGTTGAGAGTTTCTCTCCAACAACATCTCTGAAACTGACGAAACACTAAATTCAAGAAATTAAGATAATTAAGCATTTTTCGTGGTTTCTCTGCAGGGGGAGCCAGAGCAATGGCAAGATCTGACAGCGTGAGCCCCCCGCTAGCCCCGAAAGGTCCTCAGGCCGGCGCCCCAACGAACTTGAGAACGTGGGAGAGGTCTGTCACCGTCCATGCAACCACCGCGCCTGGGCAAGTGGACACGGAACGGAAAAAAATGTGAAGCACTCGCCCGGAACATGACGAACCCTTGTCTCGCCCAACTATCCAATAGAATTCTGCCCGTTCATTGGTCCATAGAGCCCTCATAAAGCACCACGAAACGACATAGAACAGAAAATGGCAAGAGACAAGAATACGCCACAACAGCAGACAAACAAGAACAAAACAAAGAGACACATAAAACAACAAAGAACAACATCCAAGAGTAGCAAGAAAGAACAATAAAGAGCGAAGAACACGATCAGCAACAAAGAGCCACAAACAAAAACAACAACAAAGAGCAACGACCACACCAAGTACCCGTAACGACGTCATACGCGACAAGAACAACGAACAACAAACAACAATCACACGTCGCACTTCTGCTGGGCGGCGGGCAAACTCCGAGAAGCGCAGCAGTGAGTGACATGAAGCGCTCCTGGCGAGGTGTGGGGTCGAGGGCTTAGTGACAGGATCGCCGTTAGAGGTGTTTTGAACCATGTACATGTCTGTGTTTTGCCAGCATTGAGCACAAGCATCATCAACAACTGCACAGTGGTTGGTTTAGGGCTGGTCTAGCGTGGGTTTTGGTGGGGGTGGAGGTAGGGGGTTGGGTTGTTTCAGGGTTGGAAGCTTCGCTGCTTGGGGCTGGCTCAGAGTGGTTGTGGTCGGTTTGGGTTTAGGGTGAGTGAAGGGGATGGCCCAGTGTTCGGGTTGGCTTGGGTGGGGTGGAAGGTTCGTTGCTTTGGCCTTGAGGATGGGTTCAGGATGGGTCGAAGGTTCGTTGATCAGGGTTGGTTTGGGTGGGATTAGGGTTGGTTTAGGAAGGGTTGAAGGTTCGTCGGATTGGCTTTGGGCGGGGTGGGTTCAGAGGCGGCACCACTCCACAGCCCAAGCCAGCACGCAGGGCTGCGCACAGTGAAGCACAAACCTCCGTCCTGTCGACCAGCGGGGTAGTCATGGTCGAATTTGACCCACGTGTGCCTCGATGGCCGACGCGCCAACGAGGATGCGCCGACGCAGCACGCATCAGCTGCAGAGCGGAGGATTCCCGTGACAGGGTGCCACTTCCAAGCGTCTGCGTCCAGTGTCAAGCGTCTTGCAGGACCTGCTTCGCGTACCGGTGCACCGTGTCCATGCTCTGGAAGGAGTGCGCGAACACGTCCAAGCCGGTGTATGTGGACGACATACGCTCTGCCACACTCTCGCTCGGACCCAAATGCAGCAAGACAACCAAGTAGTCTTCTTGACCTCACTGTGTCAATCTCTGGCTGCCAACGTAGGCAGCTGTCAACACCCCGGCCCTACTTGGGCCCAAAAACATCAACCAGGGTTGCCGAGCTGCATAACGCAGGCAGCTGTAACTTTCACCTCTACATGGGTCTTGGGCTGCGTAACGCAGGCGGCCAACCTTCAACTGACCCTTGTTGAGGAGCGACACGCAGGCCGCTCCTTGCCACCGGGCGCGAAAGACAGCTTGAATAAAGATGAGTGTGGGTGGGCCAAAGCAAGCGCAACACAAACTCAAGGGAGCCTTGAAGACAGATCAAACGCGACACCATGGTTGCCCCAATCTAGAGAGCGGGCTGGTGCTTTAGCAGGCTGGGGGATTGGTGCAGGCTTACTTTACACCTCGTTTTCGGGTGCGTTGAAGGTTCGTTACGTTGCTTAGGGTTGGTTTCGGGTGGCTTGGGTTTAGGGGTTGGTCTAGAGCGGGTTCTTGTGTTTGGGGTCGGTTGCCAACAACCCAATTTTGCCAAAAGCCACGAAAACCCGCGAAATGCGCCAAGAAAAAGAGGTACCAGAGCTTCCGACCAACAACCAAACATCCCGAAATCGCACAGAAGAATATCCTTTAAAACAAATGGGGCAAATTGAGATGACTAATTGGACACATCAATGTTTGAAACACCATCTTCACACTCCCTCTCAGCAGTTAAAGGAACCCTGAATCGATTGCCACAAGAAAAATGCGAAACTGGAGCAATCAATCCAAAGAACAAACACATCCTTGTTAGCGCTTCATCTGGCTCTCTGGTTCCTTTGTGCGGAACATAGAGCAAGCGAGCAGTGCGCCCCGTGTCCCCGAAAGACTGAGACTCAAACCACATGGTACTTCTTCAATGCCCCTCCTTCGGCACGGATTCGATGCTGGGGTTGTCCCTACGGCCTGGAATGGCGCGGGAGCCGCGCGTAGAGCTTGAAATCGCACCAGGGGCGGAAAATGAGTAAAGGGGCTACGGATGTCTATTGCCTTCTGTCTATTACCCGGATGGGGATAGCTACACTGCGCAAACAGCAACCCGCAGCTCTGCTGCAGGATATCATGCAACAATGCAGAAACCTCCTCTCAAGCTGCACTTGCTGCTCACGAATCTGAGGAACTGAGAACAATCGCAGTGGCCGCACTCCAACCCTGTGGCCTGGCAGGTGTGCGCGTGTGTCCCCAAGTGAAGGAGGAATCTTAGATGGGCCCCGTGTCTAAGCGACCGGTTGTTCTAGGGGTACCTTCCCCATTCTTTCCAGGATCCTTCTTTCTAGAAAACCTCCGGCAACCAGGGGAAAACGGATCCGGTTTTTGGAAAGAGCGATGGTTGAAATGACTGGTTGGAGTCAACCCCTAGAGTTCTTGAAACTCGGCTCCCAAATTTCAAATTATCGAACTGGGCCAACTCCAAGCCCCAACGCCCCAAGGCCCGAGCGCAGTGCGAGGACGTCCAGCGCCGCCAAACGGCATGGGACCATGATGAAGGCGAAGGAACACACCACAACCTTGGGCTGTTGGGCGGGGAGCGGGGTGGGGTGGGTGGGGGAGTGTGGAGGGGAGGGGATGGGTGGGTGGGGGGGGGGGGGGGTGGGGGCTCCTCTGTGCCAGGTTTACATTTGGACAAACGAACGGAGGCGGGGATACGCAGGGAGCGGGTCCCGATATGGGGGGATTGGCGCCATTTTCCATCTCAAACTTAGTTAAGAAAAATCCTCCCGTATCCCTGGTTTTTTCCTTTGTATCCCTAGTTGGTTTCCCTGAGAAGGCGTCCTTTCCCTGTCAAATGCTCAAGGTTGCCGGGTGAGGATCAATTGAGAGAATCGAACCTCCCCATCGCCAGCGCCAAGGAGACCAACAAACGTGCCAGGTTTGGGTGACAGGCCTTCGTAGCGCCAGCAAAATGCTCTCCAAAGTGTTTATTCATGGTCTTCCCAAAAAGTAGAAGTTCCAATGCACTCCGGAAGTAAGCATTTGTGGGTGGGTCTGTAGAACAAATTGATGTCGAAAGAGGTCCCAGTTGCGGAGATTGAGAGGCTGTTTTTCGTTTGGGGCTTCCTGAAAAACCAGGCGGCTACAAGCCGGGGTCTGTGACCACTTTGACAAACTCATCAATCCCGCTTGTGTCTCCTCGGGAAAACCAGTGAATCTTTCGAGATTCACACCTCAATGCTCCTGACTTGCCCCAATTCACTTGCCCTGGGTGCCAACACAAACACACAGTCTTCTTGTTGAGTCTTAACTCGGTTGCTTTCTGCTCCCCTGCTAAAAGTTTAACCTTTAGTGGTTTAGCGGAAAACCCATTAGTTGGCAAAACGTTAAAGTCCTAACAGCCAAGCAAAATGCACCAAAGTTAAAGGCATGCCCCAAACCTAAAGACTCGCACGCCCCGTCGCCAAACATGGTCGTGGCAACATCGTGCTGGCCCGTCCCACGACGGCGAACTGCGGGATGACCGGGCCGTCGGCTTGGCCAGGTTGAGCAAGAGAAACCATGACTTCCATTTGCTCTAGAGAAAAATGAACATATTTCCAGTAGTGACAGATTCCCCTTATAACAAAAAAAAGGGGAAAAGAGACGATTTTCATATATTTTCTTAAGCAAATGGAGGACATGGTCTGAAAGGAGCAAACTTGAGCTCCGGGCAAAGCCATAGGAGATCCAAGACACCAGCAGCGGGGCGTACCTGGACTTTGCGCTTTTGGTTTTGCCGTTCCATGCGGCCCGTTCGCCTCCGGATTCACTGAACTAAGCTCCTTGCAGGTCTTCGCCCGATTTTTTTCTTTTTTTCCGCGAATGTTTGGACCTCGGTCGAAGCAACTTGCGCTAAGCAACTTATTTGAATCGAAATCCACAGCTGGCCGAGCATCTGGCATCCAAAGAGCTCATTGTCCATTACCATTCGTGTGGTGCATGTTTTGTCCAACTGGGCGAGATAGCTTGTTGCCTTGACCTTTCCCAGTTTGTTTGATTTTGCCACAACTCTGCAAGCAGCTTTATTGCAAACTGGGCCCTCGAAGGATTGCAAAAGACCGGCTCCGCACGCGTAGGTGTTTGGATACCTGAATCGCTCTTTATGGCACATTGTTTCAGCGCATTCCAGGCTCACTCTCTTGTGTGGTAACGAATCCTAGGGTTTAGGAGCAGAACACTTCAAATTTTAGGCGCTGTCCTGGGTGTAAGTTTTCAAGCATTTCGGCGATGATTGTTCCCGCGCCTTAAATGGCGAGATTTTAGGCAACAGGTCAACTATGTTCAGGTCAACTCCTGGCACTGCGGGTGTTTTCTGGTATTCATCCTGTTTGTGGTTTTGAGAGTCTGGGTTAATGCTTCGCCGATCAGCTTTCTGGTGTTCGGGGTTCAGATGGAGGGTGTTTAGGCTATTTGCCCCTAAAGCGCTGCCCTGTGGGAAGTATTGAGAGCATACGCTTTCTACAATGGTTTAACCAGCTTAAACACCATATAGCCTGTTTGCCTGGCGGGGTAGTGGGGAGCAACCCCAGGAGCTGCTTTTCATGCCCCGTTTCCTGCCTACCCTGAAAAGGCTCTCAAAACAGACTTACGCCCGGTGCCTGGTACCTAAACACTCTCTCAATAGCAAAGTAGGTACGTACGCAAACCAGCAGCTTTGCGAAAGAAGGCTCGCTTTCGCGAATCCCTCGAACTTCCGGTCAGTATCTCGGAGGGGAGCAATAGATTTAGCTGCAAGCCACACGCAAGCCACTAGCTTGGACACAGCAGGATTCACCTTGCGACCCTCGGTTTTTGAGGGACATTACCTTTCATCTAGTTGATGTACTACGTGGCAAAAGCTTTTACAGGAAGTATCGTTTGATCCTTGAGGCTTTTCCGCGTTTTGGGAGAGGGCCAGAGATCTTTCTCCAAGGGCTCAAATGGCTGTGGGTCAAAAATAGGCACCCCAACTGGAACCTTAAGTGGAACCATGGACCAAAACCTGCGGTCCAATTCCTGGTTGACCCATACTCATATATGCTGAACGCGGCTTCCTCTCGTCACTTTTGACGCTGATCAGCTCCTTTTGGGAGAGGGCCAAATGCCAACGCCAGAACCGCCGATCGGCACGAGGGGTTGAAGTCCAGGAGGACGTTACCGGCCACTTTGTCCCCGAACCGGAGATAGGCCGCCTATGGATGCCAGGCACGCGCGCACGCCAGGCGCTTGCTTGTGGCTCCAGGGGGATCCTTGCATGATAAATGTAAACCTTGCCTTGTAAATGGTGGTTTCCCTCTATTTTGGTGGAAAAAGCCATGTTTCAAACGGGCAAAAATTGTATCTTTTAAGGAGCCCTGCTAAAGGGGGAGTCTTTGAACCGAAAGGCAGGGACGCATAACGCTGGGCATGGGAGATGTTCTGGGTCTTGCAGTTGCCTGATTTTGAAAGGGACATTATGGATGCCACAAAACAAGAAGAGCTGGGCATTTTTTGGGATTCTCCGGTTGGACGGCCAGAACATTGATGCCAGCAAAAGGAGCCCAACACAAATCACAGAAATCTTCTACTCTGCGAATGTCATCAACCTTTGCTAGCTCGGAGAATCCTGTTTTTGAGTGCAGAGCCAGCTGGCAGTGATGAGAGGGCATTTCTGGCGCTGACAAACCGAGCTATCTGCCTGCGCGTTTTTTGAAGTCAAGCTGAAACTGCAAAGGCCGATGCACGAGCATTACTGCCCACTCTGCAAAGCCTACAATGGCACCAGAACCAAAGCGATGTTTGTCACGGGGCTAACAGGCATTTAGGCCCAAATATTGACGCCTGTTCAGCTCAGTTCAGTTCATACGAGGTTTTGGATTTAGTCAGCAAGAAGAAACCAACACTTTAGATCACACTCCCAACTGATGGTTCCTCTTGGCAAGGGGATGCGTTGCTTGAACAGGCAACTTGAAACAAATTTGAACTTTAGGGATCAAACAGACAGGGAATTACGCGCAAACATGACCGGAAGTGAGCGGATTGCTTAAAACAACTCCAAACTTCTTGAGTTTCAAAAAGGACGCGGCATTTGCCACTCCCATGTGCAATGCCCACGGTTCCCCCCCCCCCCGCCGTGCCCAAGGTCGCGGACAGGAAGAGCGCCAAGGTAAAGGCCACCTTGCGGCGAATTCCACGGAGTCGGCTTCGCATCGCATTTCAGAGAAACACGCCCTCAGGCTGGGCATTCCTATGCCCCGAAAAAAAAAAAAGTCAATCCCCAGGTAGCTGATTTTTCTCTGCCAAAGGGTCAATGAATGCTACAGAGGAAGGACACAAGAACACTGGCTTCGGTCCTTCCGTGCCAACATTCCAGGGCTGGCACACCCACAGGTTACTCCAACATTTTGGTTGGTGCTGAGGCCGGGCCTCACCAACCCGCAGAAACGACGCAACCCAAGCATCTTGTGGGCGTGTGCCGACTCTCCTGTGGCTCCGGCGCACCCCCGAGACAACCCGAATGGGGATGACCCCATTGCAGACCAAAGCTGAATGTCTATTTCTCACTTGCCCAATGGACCTGGAAATATGTCGACCTTCTGGGACCTTTACTAAAAATGGGCAAAATTGGGAAAACCAAACTGAAGTTTTCCGCTTTGAGTCGGCTGGGTTCCTTGAATCGCGGCTGAGCTGGGGAGGCCTGGCCGGTGTTCGTTTCGCCCCCAGCCGCGCCTCGGAGATTCGTTCCGCCGCCAGCAAGGAGCTCATGGAATTCGGCGCCTCCTGCGATCTTCGCGACAGTCGGACTGGGACTTGGGGGAGCAACTCTCTAAGACCTGGGCGATGGGCGAACTGGACAGGACAAGACTTGCTGGTGCGAGAAGTAGGGAATGTCAAATTTGCCCCCTATAAACCCTCCAACCTTTGGTTTCTTCTAAAGGGGACCCCTGGGTTCATTCCATTTTTTCATTCCCTACTGATCGCACCAGGAAGACCCAGACTCGTTCTCAATCCTGGTCTAGGGGGTTTATGACATGCTTCTCCCAAACAAAAGAGGCTGATTTGGAGAAATCACGCGCCGATGGCATCACTGTGGGGCGATGGATTTTTTTCACAGCCCGGAATACCAAACCTCAGTCCCTATCTGGCTGGTTCACGATTTGGCCAACTAGTTGATCAACCAAAGTAGCTAGTGAGCCAAGCAGCTTACTCCTGACAATCTAGCTAATTATCTAGCTAATAAGCCGGGCTTGCTAAATGAGCTGGCTAGCAAGCAAACTAGTTCACAGCTGACCAACTGACCCGCCAACCACACACCTCCCAGGAAACTCCCTGACCAGCGTGCAAGCTAACTAACCTCCACCTTCCGGCTTTGCCGTTTTTTCTGGTCAATGGAAGGTTTTGGTCTCCTCATTTCGTTGAAACGCATCATCAAAGTCCTCATTTTGGTCTCCTTCAGTCCAGGCACTGGTTTTTTCTGGCTCGTTGCGGTGGTTTGAGAGCTGGCCGGGTCCAGTACATGCCTCATTTGCCCCGGTGAAAACCCTTGGCACAAGCTGCCGGTAGTCTCCATATCCCTCAAGCCTGCCTCATTCTGCCCGTGGTCCACGCGGCTCAGCACCTGGCTCATGAGGTTCGGTTGCAAACACCTCAGTCAGTTCTGCGCCCCACGTGTCCCGGCTGGTCATCTTTGGTGATGCTATCTCTAGAATTGGCCCCCACAAAGTTGAAGGGGGGCAAATGGCCAGGTCCATCCCCGAGAAAGGAAGAGGAGAAACGAGGATAGAATAAGGGTCCCCACTTTTTTCTTGTTTGTCTATTTTAGGCAACCCTCCCCCCAAAAAAGGGGTGAGAGGTCGGGCACTGGGGGACCTAGAAAGGAAAAAGACAGGGAGATCACAACAGATCGCCCACACTCGAAACGGTCCAGGGATTGGGCCCCGGCTAACCCTGACGCAGCGGGGGTTACTCGCCCAACACATTTACACAGGCCGTCCTTCAAAGAATTCCCCTAACATGGACAATATCCTCTTGTCGGACAACCATCAACTTGATCATGCTCATTCTCAACAAAAACAACACATCTTATTCTCATTCTCAGGCTCATTATCATTCACATGACTATCAGGTGCCATTTTATTGTGATTTCTTACAAGTCTCATTAACTACTATCATTGTTGCTTTCATTATCATCAACAGCAACATGCACAAGCAGGTCCACCTGTGCCAAACCTTTGAGTAGATTTGAAAGACCCCAATCCCGACTAAAATAGACTAAGCTGGGTGGTGCACCTACCCCAAAATGGTACCATTGGTTTTGACCCAGAGCCATCCACCTAAACATTGCCTTGTAAATGGTGGTTTCCCTTGATTTTGGTACGGAAAAAGCAACATGCTTTAAATGGGCAACATGGAGATCTTTTGAGGAGCCCTGTCAATCGTTGAGGAAATGGTTGGGACCTTCCCGAAGCTCGCTGGAGCTGCCTCGTTGGGCGCAGGTTTTGGTCCGGCCGCGCCTCGATCCCACCAGCCTGCACTGAGAACTGAAGGGAGAAGAGCGCGGTGCCTGTCCAACGTGTCCGGGTGCGAGCGCGCCCGCGCGCCCGGTGAAAAAGAGGTTGCGGTGCGATATGCCATGAAAAAGAAACCTGTTCAATCATCACACATTTGGCATCTGACTCGCATTGCGTGAAGTCAGAAACACTTTGCGACATTCGAAGCATCGTGCGCCTCCATGATCCCTCAATTTCTGGTCACCAACTGTAGATGTAACTGGATTCACTGGGGTGTTTGACTCAATGCCGCTGCTGCTCAAATCCACGCGACAAAAAAACAACGCCAAGAAAGCAAACTTACCCCGGGATCCCAGTTGCCACTACATAATTGGTATCCAAGGACTTTCCCTTTGAGTTCTTCAACCTTGGTTTGAACTGGAAGAACTGGCCCTGTGAACCCATAGTCGCATGATCATTCAGATATTGAGCAGGAAGCAGTGGGCAAACGGCAACCTAGGTCACGGTCACCCTCGTGGTCAACACGCGCGAGCAGAAGCAGCCAAGGAGCAGGTTGCTGAGGCACAAGGGCCTAAGCCCACTATTCTCAATTCCACATGTTTCTGACTTTTTTGAGCCGGCTCTCGGACGTCACGTCCAGGTATCGCAGGCCAATCGAAACAACCATCGCGGGGCAACTACCTCGTAATCATATAACCTTGCTCACCGGTTCGCTCGACTTTCCTGCTGCAAACGTGCAACAGCTGCAGCTTGATTGAAGAAAATTGACCACTTCAAGAACCCCCTCTGTTGCTCATATCCAAGCCAAGCTTCCGGGTTACCACCTTTTGCACTGTAAGCCTGCATGGTGGCTGCTGCAAGGACCTCTTTTAAACAAAGTGGGCAACTGAGTTCACCATTCTTTTCTGGGCTGCCCTCAGATCCCCTGCTAAAAGTTTAACTTTTAGTGGGTTTCATGGAAACTAGCACTAAACACTAAAAGGCTAAAAAGCTATGGGGATGGCTGGGAGCCACCAAGTTTCGCAAGAGAGCAGTACGCAGGACACCACGACCGTTCACCAATTTGCCCAAGGCCTCAAATCAAATCAAGAGAAACTCCGGGAACTCTTGGCGCGGGACCGTCCGTGAGCTGCAAACATGGGAAAGGCAAACAGGCGAAGCGCACGACTACTTGTCCAGCCTGGACACAGCTCAACGGCAACGTGATCATGATTGATACCTTCCAATTGGTTAAGCTGGAAAGAATAAACAAAACATCCAGTAGTGATAGATTCCCTTTAAAACCAACAGGGGAAAATAAAAACTACTCTTAAGCAAACGGAAGATACCATGAATCTGCACTCATTGCTATACTGCCCCAACCAAGGGGCCATGAGCCGAATTCGCGATCCGCCTGCCTGACAGAAATCTCCGGAGATCTCCGCGGAAGAGGTCCACATCGCCTGACCAACATGCCAAAGCTTGGGTGCGCAAACTAGAGTGGTTGGAAAAGAATGGAGCAACACCCTGTTGCCTAGCAGTCGCCTATCCCTAGTGATCCGAACCATCTTCCCCTTGTCTTGTGTCTACCTTCGCTGGTCTTTGCCTTGTCTCTCTTGAAAAAGTCCCATATTTTCCTTTCACAGACCCTTTCTGCGGACGCTTGCGGACGATTTCGAACGCCTTCGGACGCAGCGACACAGCTCCTGCTCAGACCCTGGTTACAGGTCCACCCTCAGGGGTACAGGCAACTGTCAGCCATCCTTTGAAAGGCTGCGCCAGCTCTTCCCAGATTGTGATCCTTTGAACATGGTTGACTTATCAGGCACCAGAGGAAAAGGCTTTCCAGCGATCCTTGCCCAACACTCAATCGCGCGCACCAAAGGCCGATCAGCGGAATCGGCACGCGCTCGCGCCTGCATTGCCGGCCATTTCGATCGGCGCGTTCTCCATGTCCCCCGAGAGCACGTCGCCTGAGAGAGCAAGGGCCCACGTCGCTTGAGGGTTTCATGCCTTTCGTCTTGGAGATCACATTTCTGGGGAAAGCCCACCTTTTCAGAAACAATTCGGAAGAATCCACACATCTCTGGCATTTCAAAGCCGCCAGTTCGGAATCCATGTGCCTTTCCAGGGAAAACCGGGGCGAATGGTTTGAAGGTACCCTGTCTGGGGTTGCTTCAAAGGGAAACCCAAGAGTCGCCGCTCATTTCGGGGGGTTTGCCCATTTTGGAGCCAAATCCACAATCCAACAAGAGCCATTCCCGTTCAAGGGCGTGAGAAAACAAAAACAGTCCAGTTTTGGACCTTCGGATGGGTGATGAAGAACGCCTCCCTGATACCTCATCCGACCCACACTCCCAGTGGGCACAATACATCACGAGAAAGTCCGCTCGAAGCATCATCGGTGTCTTGCATACTTATGCCTGAAACGAAACAATCATCATTCACCACGCCGAGCTTAGCCTTTCAGTGAAAGAAGCCTTCATCTTGGGAGAGCTTGGTTCCCCCTCGTGAGCTCCCTCTATCCCCCAAAGGCAGACTCGTCAATAACTGTCTGTTTTGAGGTTCCATGCTAACTAGGTCCTCCAGTAGAGAGGTTAGAATAAGGGTACCAGTTTTTCAGTCGTCTATTTTAGTAGGGGAACCCAAAACCACAAAAAACAGTTGGTAAAAAGGCACTACTGGGGTTCCATGCTAATTTCGGGAATAGCTTCCCCAGCTCGGAGACCTCTTCTCGATGCAAAATTCTCTTGACCTGGATATCCCAAGGCTGCAGCGCACAGAGACAGAGGTGAGGACCACCTGAGGCTTCACGCCAGAAGGTCAAGTTCCCAAGAGTGCAGGCCTTGGATTTGATTCCTTCCGACTTCCATGGAACTCAGAAAGGTCCAATTGTTGACGAGCCTCTTTGTTGGGAGTTGGCTTGTGCTTTCCTGCGAGACAACAAGACGACCCCCTTTTCCGCAAGGGGAATCTTCCCAAAAAGGTGAACACGGCGCCATGGTACAAATGATTTGGACACCATAATTGCAAACTGCCTGACTTGTAAAATGCGGTGGAGCTTGTATCCCTTTGCCAACACGAATGGGAAGCCTGGTGAACATCTATCGTTCAGAACATCATGCGGTGATGCAGCAGGCGAAGGCAGTGCTGAAGCTCACACGTGAACACGCACTCGCAAGCATCTTTTCGGAACATAAGCGGATGAGCTGAGTGGCGCGACTTGTTTCTATTCCACCAAGATCCTCCCAAGTATCAAGCCCGGCTGGAAGGCAGGAGTCCTTGTAGTGACAGAAAGTGCATGGCATTTGCGCCTGCATCCCTCACGCAAACTAAATGACAATCAACTCGTGATGTTGGAGTTGCTTCAAACGTGGGATCTGTGAGAACTCGGGATCTGAAAGGAGTCCAGTTTCGTTGTGACACAAACCTAGGTTCTGCAAATGGTTCTTGAATCTGATTGTTACACAAGAAATCCTGAGAGCGTAGCCACCAGGCAGCCCACACCTGGCCAAAAGGCCTGCGGGGACCACAGTCCTGGGTGGTTCCCTGCTAGTAAAGAACAAATGGCCATGGACCCCCAGTGAACATCCGATTCAATCCAACCACTAAAATAGACTAAAATGGGTGGTGCACCTAGCCCAGCACCATTGGCTTTGACCCCAAGCCAAATCATTCTTGAGCTCGCTTGTTTTCTTCTTCTGGACCAAGGTGCGGTCCACGATAGATCAGTGTGTTCGTTTGAATTTCGCTTGTTTTTTGCTTTCCTTTGAACCAGAAGAAGGGAGTTTTCGGAGTTTGCGCGGATAGTGTCCTAAAGTAGGGCACCCCTTTAAAAGCCTCACAGAAACCCTGTTTAGAGGTCCGCGTTTTGGGAACAGCCAGCTTTTGCCCAGGGAACTTGCTCTCTCAAAAGTCCCAGGTCACTAACTTCGGTAAAGAGTGGTTGTGACCAATCCTCAATATCCCAAAACCTCATTTTGAAGTGAAACACCCCGTAACTCTCAGGTTTGTCCTTTCGTCGAAACCTTGTTCGAGTGACGAGCTTGGCGAACCGCCGAAAGAACTGTGAAATGAGATCTAGGAGTCTGTCCAGACATCCTTTCCAGACAGGAGGCTGTCAAAAGGACAGTTTGTGTTCTGCATGGAACCCAAACGAAACCTATCTTCCATTCAAGGGAAGCTCACAGTTCCTTTGCCGTGCTCAAACCCTACATGTGTGAAAACCCCCAGCGTGTTGAGCCGCTAGTTTGCTGGGCCACATCTTTCTTTAACAGGTCAAACCCGACACCTGAAGACATGGAATCGACTTCACCTCTTGCTAACTCACCTATGCTGTCGGCTTTTGGAAGGCAAGCCGCATTGGAAATGTGTCGGAGCCAAGGATTGACACTGCAGACCGAGGCAGACAAGCAGGCACAGATGCTGACATGCGAGAAGTTGACACATCACACAGCGATGGCTGATGCGTCTAGTCAAGACGCAAGCCGGCTGTTCAAGGAACTATGGCCGGGGTCGCCACACAGCGCGCAGACGGAACCTGCAGCTTGCGCGAACACAACTCCCCGTCGCGAACACACTGCCCCCACCGTTCCTTCAACATGTCTGTCGGCAAGCGCGGGCTTTTTCCGGTTTCACAAGCTTGGGTCACTCAACCAGCATCGAGCGCAGGGCATCCTTCGCAACGGCCACATGATGAAGGCCAGGAGAACAAGTGACACTCTCCCATCATGGCAGGCTCGCCGCCTCTTCGCTCAAGAGTTTCTTCCACAGAAGCCACTCGAAACTCTTGCTGGATCAGCCAAGGAAAGGGCTGTTAGAGTGGCTGGCAGAATCAGCACTGACGAGCAATCCTCCTCCAACCCCGGCGCAGCCGGTGGCCGGTCTGCCAGCGCAAGCCGCGCTTGGAGCCTGGCCGCTAAAAGGCGCTGTCTGGGGAATTGGCGCGACAGTCTGCGCTTCAGTCAGCCTCATCCATATGGCCATGGGTCAAAATCGAAATCGTACCCTCAGTGAACATCCGATTCAATCCAACCACTAAAATAGACTAAAATGGGTGGTGTACCTACCCCCAAAATGGGTCCCATTGGTTTTGACCCACAGCCATATCTCGAAAACCCGGAAGCTTCGATCGAAGCCGGGCCAGCCAAGTTAAAGGCTGCGTCCACAGAGGCATCCACAACGCGGGCACGCTGTCATAGCCTGGCGCCACGGAACTCTGGCTTCACACCCGCTTTGCCCAGCATCTTCCACTCATCAGCCAGGCTGCGAGAAGCACAAGGTAGTAAGCAAGCACGCGCGGAACATCTTAACATTCAGTTGAGGAAGCTGCCTCGGCCAGAAGCAAGTGCAACAACGCACGGAAGGCATGAGAGCCCGGGAATCTGACCTGGCGAACGGGGCCATATGTCTTGCCACTCGCTGCATCGACAGCACGTGGCTGCCCTACAGCCCCCGCCGGGGATGTACGAGGCCAGGGCACATGGGGCTCGCCTGACGGCACTCACGGCACTATGTTGACACATTCGGAACCCTTACGCGGGTCCAAGGACCATAGCTCAGTGGACAAAAGCCCTCACTTCTGCACTCACAACTAGACGCTGGTGAGGCACAGGGGCTGGGCAGTGACTGCCACTCACGCACGAGGCCAACACAAGGCACCACAAAATCGGTGCCTTGGCAGGCTTTGTGGATGTTTCACGTCTGGGGGCCCCAGATTGCACAACTCGGGCAGGGACCTGTTGCCCCTACGCTACAATGACACTTGCGCCAAAGCGCTACAAGGACACCCTTTTTGTTGGCAGATTTGAAAGGAAAATGCAGCAATGGTTCAAACTTGTGCAAACATAGCGCTTCTATAGACATCAGATCGAACAGCCGCATGCAACAACTCGCAGGTTTTCCATGGCTAAACTGGAAACCCGAAAATGGAGCCCACCCAAACCCTTTTTCCCGTTGGCAATTCTTCCAGAAGCCACCCACCCTTTCAGCGAAAACTCCTTTGCAGTGAGCATGAGGAACAACTTTCCGACCAAATCAGGATAATTCGCAAACTCGAAATCAGGAAGGCCCAAGGCGCCTTCATGCTGGGCTGTCCTCAAAATCCCCTGCTACACGTGAAAAAACTTTTAGTGGGTTACGAAATACACGAACAAAAAGCTAAGACAACCTAAGGCAGGACTGGGAACCAAGGGGCGACCTCGTTGTCGCAATTCAAAGCGGCTTCCCCCGCCTAGCATGCACACCGCGCTCACCAACGCCACATGCCGCAAAGACCTGGCGGATTCGCGAAGGTTCCACGAAATCGTTCAATCAATTCAGAGACTTGAAAATTAAAGTTTGAAGGAAGTGAGAATCACATCGCCAGGTTTATCGAAAAATTGCAAAGTCCGGCTTAAATTACAGCATGTTTAGCCTGTCGAAGCCTGCAAGTGCATGGACGTCTAGCAAACCAAACATGTCTTACACCAAGTTGTTTTCCAGCATACTGTCATCACATGGAAGACAACTTCTCAAAATCTCACAGAAAGCACGAGGAAAAGCAGCCAACAAAAATCCAGTGAAATCCTAAAAAAAGAAGCAGCATTCTAAGGGCCACCTTTGGTTTGGTGCGTTTGTTCTTGGATTTTGTTTCTCCAAGAGTTTTGTCTTTCTCGACCTCCCTGAGTCTTTCCGCCTTACGGTGGTTCTGCTCGGAAAAACCTTGATCGTTCTTTATTTCCCCAATGACATAAATCCACCTGGAACGACGAGACAAACCGCCCCTGGGCATCAATGACCCAAACTACCCTCTTCATGCAGCGCGTTCCGCGCCCTATGTTGGCTCCGCAGATTCTGCACCCGAAAGGCCAAGTACAGGTAACGTCTTAACCTAACGAGAAACTGCGTGGCAAGGGCATTGGGTCAACATGCCGCTGGCCCCGGCCTCAGGAGTGCCGCTGGCGTACACATGAGCACTGCGAAGAAGACCTGGGCCGAGCTGAGAAATTCGGATCGAGGGCTCAGATCGCACTTTTTTGGGACCAGAACCTTGGTTGCTGTTGACCCCTCCGCAAAAAGTTTTCAACTTTCTGGGGGTTTAGTGGAAACCCCCCTGATTTCGCAAAAAGTTGAAGTCTAAGGATCCAACCCAATAGCAGTCAAGGAACGGGAGGCGTGTTTAGGTGTTGGTGTGTTTCGGGGTTGGTAAAATCAGTTTTATGACGATTTCCCCTCTTTTGGGCCTGTAGGCGAAGTTTCCTTGGTGGGGGGGGATAATTTTCTTCGTGGAAATGTATGCCCCCCCCACACTGTTAGAGAACGGATTCTGAGGTAGACAAAGGACCAGTCTGTAGGTGTAATTCCCTTCCTTTCCTGTTGATTCCTTACCTTTCTATCTTCACTTTCTCTTACCATGTAATTCCTGTCTTTCCTATCACCAGATAATCCTGTAGATTGGAGAGGTAACGTGGGATGGAAGCGAGCCGCATCTTGCATTAATCAATTCCCTTCGCCTTCAGGCCCAACGCAACTTCGTTGGCTTACCCAATGCTCAAAATCAACAAAGCCAGGATCCGCTTGCCCCGTCGCCATCTCTAGGTCCTCCAGTAGAGGGGTTAGAATAAGGGTACCGTTTCTTTTTTCTGTAGTCTATTTTAGGGGAACCCTCCCAACCAAAAAAACACGGTAAGAAAGGGCGCCTATAGAATCAAGTTTCTAGGGAATAAAGCCACTCTGATTTCTCTTCTAGAAACCTTACCATCTTAGCTACCATATTTGCAGTACACCCATCTAGCACCTAGCTGGGGGACCTAGTCAAAAAAGACGCACCCAAGTGGTTTGACAAACCCTGGAAAAACTGGTCCCATAAAACCTTTGGGAGGAGTCAAAGGCCTTTGGGGACCTAGATCTTCCAAAACCATCGGGCTAAAGGCGCCCGCTTTTTTCGCCGCCGGGGCTTCGGGCCAGCAGAAGCCTTGGAGCTCCGCGGAGAGCTGTCAACGCCAAGAGGTCCTTGGACCGAGCCGGCGGGGCCCAAAAATCTAGGCTGGAAGTAGGACCCAGCAAACAAAAATCTTTTGGGCCTTAGTGGAATTCAGAGGGACCCCAAAAAAGTAAACAAAAAAAAGGGGAGCTAAAGTCTGGGGAAGAAATTTTGAGGAGGAGGGTGAGAAGTTCTACGAAATCGTGTCCGAAATCTGTAAACTGGGCTGCCCGTTTTCTGATCCCCCGCTAAAAGTGACTAACTTTTAGTGGGTCAAATGGAAACTACCACCAAGCACTAAAAGGCTAAGAAGCTAAGGGGATGGCTGGGAGCCACCGAGTAAAACAAAACAGAAAAAACTGGATCCCCCAAGTACAGAAGCTGCATGGTGAGATCCTTTTGCCCGATGAGCGAGCGATGACATAGGCAGATGATGTGTGATAGACTCTGCTTCGGACACATTCGCCTTGTGGCGGACCTCTGCTGCCATCATTTTGCACTTTGACGTTAAGTAGATATGGACCAGAATCAACTCTGCCGACCACTCACCTGGAACCAAGCCCAGTCCCCCGCAGCATGTCACGAATTCGGCCGGTGGTGGGTTTCCCGTTCAGCTTTGAAGGCATCCAGGAAAGAGTGTGACATGGCTATGGGTCAAAACCCAAATCGCACCCCAGTGAACATCCGATTCAATCCCCACTAAAATGGGTTCTAAAATGGGTGGTGAATTCACCTAGCCCAACATGGTACCATTGGTTTTGAACCATGGCCACATAGATGGTGCGGAACAAAGCTGAGCTAACGAACATCCTAGGCAACGCTCCTCATCCAAAAAAGAAACGGTGAGGAAGGGCACTATTGGGGGACCTAAGAGTTCTCCGAGGGTTCACCCAGTGCAAGTCTTCGACACGCCTCTTCGGCCGAGGCTCAACAAGGACAATCAAGTACGAGGACAAAATGCCGAGGGTGAAGACCAGGTAGGACACCAACACCTCACTCGCTTCGCAGCAAGCAAACTGAAAACATTTGGCTGTGGCTCAAAAGCATGTACCCAAAATGGCAGCTTGGTACCTAGCCCTTTAATTTTGAGCCACCCATTTGAGGTGCGTTCCTCAGCTCAAAGTGTGCCCCAGGCACACAAACAAATCAAATCAAACAAACCGAGCCGTGCCGGTGAATGCGTCTTGCTCTTGGCTCACATAGGGCGGTCCGGGCTTCAAGGGAATCACTTCCATGAGGGGTGGAACTCTCAACCAGCTGTGATACCACTCCTTCGCATTGAATGGCGAATGTGGGAGGTTCCTCGCCAGCCCTGAAGGCGTTTTACATATGCATCCACTGGGACCGTGAACGTGAACTCTCACAATTTCTTGAAAACGATGCTGAACAGGAAGCTCATCAGAGTTCACTTTGGATCAGTCCGCAGTGCTGTGCTGCTTTCGGAAATCTAGGGTGGGGCCCACCTAAGTGGCTGAAGCTGGCCCAAACGTGTTTAAACACAACTCGCCCAGCCCCGGCACTCCTGCTGAAGCGTGTTTGAACGTTCGGACAAACAACACTTCTGCCCCAATTCGCCCAAGGTCCTCAAGGACCATTCAATGTTTTACACACTTGCTCCAACACAAGTGTCGACTCCGCTGCTCCAAAAAACGCAGCCCCAACCGCCAAGTCGGGGCGTGCCCGTCTCCGCGACATGGTCGGCGAGCTTGTGAAAGCCATGCGGGCACTTTGCCGGAAGTCTGGAGCGCTTGCTCCCATCTCCCCGGCTGAACCATGGCTTCAGCATGTGCTAAACAAGGCGAACATGTTTAGCAGCCGTTAGACCACTTCTGCACAGATCTCTGACTCAGCGGGGTGGAATGCAGGCTGGTGCGCCTGGTGACTTCAATCGAAGTGATTTAGGCATAAACAAATGTCAGCCGGAGCCCAAACATTTTTTAACATGCTTAAACACACAGCAGCCTGAGCCTAAGCATGTTCAAACATGTTTGCGTTTAAACGTGTTGTGCCCCACCCCGGCGTTGTTTCCATTCTTAATTACTTGGTTTAGGAAATCGCGCACTAGAAGGATTTGAAGGACGCTGCTGAACAACTAGGTACATACAGTGATGTTAAAACAGCCACACACACAGACAATTATCCAGGTGTGGGCATGTTCCCGTAAACAGGGCCACGACATGCCACGACCAAAACCACTTCTGTGCTCTTCAGGCTATCTGATAAGCCTGGGCAACCCCGCGGCAATGAGGCCTTTTTGGCCAAAGACGTGCCTGCACGTCGGCTGTGTGGCGATTGAAGTGGAGGATCCCTGGTGGTCGGTGGCTTAGGTTTGCTTTTGTGAGCAGCAGCCCAAAAGAGCCAGTTGCCCCGGCGCGCGGCCCCATGCCTGGTAGCGGTGATTTTAGCTCTCCAGCTTGGGTGGGAATGGCAAAGGAATCGGTCCTCTGAGTTTTAATCCCACGTGTAATGTGTGATTTAACCAAGTATCAGGTATTATCTGAGGCAACCGCAACTCACAAGTTGAAAAAGGATTGCCCAAGTAATAGACCTTCATGGCTAAGCTCGTCTTACCCTCCGATCTATGAGCTTGTTCGCAAAGGAAGCACACTTTTCTTGCAGACAAACTGGTGCCCACCAAAAACAACCCCAAAAATGCAACTAGTTACATTTGGGACCCCTCCCCCAAGGAACCCAAAAAAGGAGATTCCTGGTCGCTTTCCGCTTCCATGCCAAGTTGCAAGATACCAAATTGGCCTTTCCCAACAGTTGTGTTTAAGATCACCAAACGGGCGATTCGGACCCCGAAACTCCACCTTCGGTGCTTCCTGCGGCTTACATGTTTCTCAATCTTAGCTCTCCGCGGAGGGTCCCTGTGATAGGGTAAAACCCCCCAAAAATGAAACATCCACGTCTTTCCCTACGCTTTCTTTCATCCACGGAACCGCTTTCTTTGAACATCAGGCAATTGAAACAGCTCCGAATGAGGGGCTGCTCGATCTGGGCATTTCGCGGGCTTCACCAGAACAAGTTGTGGATCCGAACTGGCAAGAGCCCTGATAGGGCCTAACTTACTTAAACAATATTGGCGTGCTTGTGAAAAAGGCCTGAGAAGGTGCGAAGAGGTAACACCAGTCAAAATGAGCTGCACCCAAACCCGTTGACTTCAATCCTAGCAAAATGGGGTTTCCTTTAATCTCCAAACGAGACGAGGTCTATGGAACCTCTTACCTAGGCAATGCCCGCAAAACACCTCAGGGATTGTAAACATCCCCCCATAAATCAGATGTTCCAACAAAGGTCAAGTCGGAACCCGGTCAGCGGGGTTGCATAGTTGCAGAAGGCTTCTGCCCGTTCCATGGCGCTACAATGGTTGATGCCCAACCGTGACCAGAAAGACTTGATCAGGGGCCGGTATACAACCTGAGGTGTAGACAGTTGCAAGCCAAACCCAAGTGTCGCCAACTATGGACTTGGGTTCCTGGCAAAAGGGAGCAAACTCATTCCGTCAGAGCATGTAACCCAGAAGAGGGTCCCCCAAACGGAGTTTCCCCAGGGTCTTCCGCCTGCGTTGATTCTCAGGAGACTCCCCCCCAACACCAAAAAACTCACCGTGGTTTGTGTGCACAATATTTTTCACCAGAAGGCTTTTATGGGTTCTCTTCAAGAATCACACCCCGCCTGGTGGATGGATACCCCTGGCAGAAACATCCTCTTTTCAAGGTTTCTGGGAGAGAATTGTATGGTTTCGGCCCGCGCGGAGTCCCTTTGAACAAGGCCGGTGGTTGCGCGGCGCGCCTGCCCAATTCTGGGTAGGAGCACTCCTCGTTGCTCAGCACCGAGTGGCCTTATCCGTTTGGGGCACGTCTGGCATAGCTCCAACAGGAAAAGGGAAAGCGTTCAGCTTTCAGGGAATGGAGGGTGTATGTGGACATGCAGGGTTGCACGCCAAAATCAGACGCGGGCGCCAAAACGAAATTGACGGCGGTTTCCTGAAGGCTTCTTTTTGAAGCCATCCAAACATTGGAAGGGCGCCCATTTGTGAGTCTGATGTGGCTTCTGGCTTTGAACCGGGGGTGTCCCAAAATTGGACATGGATCACCTGCTGGATGATTAGACAAGCTGAACATGCAATTCCTAGAGTCCGTTTCATTGCTTTTGGAAAACACCAGTGAGTGACCAATTCAATCCCTTTATCATTGCTAGGCTTGCAAATGCCCTCTTGTGGCTGCCACCTGGAAAAACATGAGCAGAACACGGCCATGACGGTGAAACCAGGCCACAGATGTAGAACATGACAGTTGCTGTGACACCCAGTGGCCATCCCTATGACTTGTTTTGTCCTGCAGAGGGTTCCTGTTTGGCTAAAAGTGGCCGCCGGGGTTCGAAAAATCTTGGAGATCCAACACCGAGGCCTTCCTGCAACCACGGGGCCCCAGAAAAAATGACGAGGGTCTGGAACATCAATTGGGTGTGGCTCAGAATTTCAGGGCTGGGGCAAACCGCAGGTTTTGGGGCCCAAACATGGCGCCCCCACTTTTTGGGCCACAGCCAATTGTGACCTGTCCGAAGAAAAATGGAACGACCTCCGAACTCAGAGAGCCCAAAGCTGGCGGATGCTTCGAACTCCCGTGGCGCCGGGCTCATCCATAGGACCTGGCACGTCGAATCAATTCGACGCGCGGGTGGCTGCAACTGGTTTGGTGTCAAACGGGTCTTCCCCCCCGAAAAAAATGACGTTCTTTGTGAACCCCAAAAAGGGTACACTCAAAACACACATGCTAGGGTCATTTCCAGAAAAAATGGGTCCTCGCGTCGTTTTGTTATGGAACAAGCAGCAATTCAGCAGGATCGCTGGGCCAACCTTCCTGAGAGACGCCAATTTTGTCTCAGCAGCCCCATTGTGGTTCCCTTTCAACGATGGCTCGGGTCCTTGTTTCAACCAAAAATCCCCAGCCACCCTGCATTTGGCCGAAGGCCTCAAAGGCGGCCTTGGTAATCTGAATATCCGAAGTGTCGCTCAGGCGGGTTGCCCGGCTATGAACCGACCTGTCGTCTAGCAATGTCCAATATGGCCATGGGTCAAATCCCGTACCCGTGAACATCCCACTAAAATAGGTTCTAAAATGGGTGGTGCACCTACCCCAAAATGGTACTATTGGTTGTGACCTACGTGGCTGTCCTGTCATGTTTCCAAGCCTTGGGGTTTGCTTTTACATGCCGCAAGGGAGCTGACTTGCAAGCCTAGCTTAAGCCAATGAGCGGAAACAAAATGTGTCCAGACATTGCCTCTGCGGCCCAAAGAGAGCAGCTAATGGTGATGCTTGTGACGCAGCTCTGGAGGTGCTGTGGCGACTCCGGGCGCAAACCAACAGTTCTGAAACATCCACTCCCTACAAATTTCCGCGGAACCTTTAAAGGAAACTCCCAAAAAGAGCAGTCCTGAAAACACAAGGGTTTTTCAGGCCTTATCATCTGGAGTGTAGGTTTCCCTTTGCTTCGGGTCCATTTGAGCACCGATTTGCCAATCCTGTTGTTTGGTGAGCATGATTTGAGGGAACCCTACACACTACCCCCCCCCCCGCACAGCGGCTGTTAAAAAATACCTTGTTAGGAGAGAACAAACCAAACAAAGGCCAAACTGTTTCTCCAAGAATGCTCCTTTCGACTTGGCAAGATTCACGTCAATGATTTGTGTGGTCCGGATGTTGTGCGGAAGGAGATAACTTCCCAAAAACAAGTAACAAACAAAAAACATCTCTTACAGTACTAGTCTCTTGAAATTGGGCCCTGTCATCCCGAATGCGAGAATTGAAACACATGTTGTCCGCTTCTCGTTCCCCCAATGCTTACCTCTTTTATACACCATAGGGTTGGTAACCCCCTCGGTTCAAAGGGAACAGATGGGTAAACATCCTTTGAAGAGAACTCCCGCAAAACACCAGCGCCAAACACTTCGCGCACCTGCAGCAAGGTATACCTGTTGGCCACCGCCACGATACCTCGAGTTGCGGGCCACCGCTCCCACACATGACCCGGGCTCCTCTGAAAAGGAGGCCCCCGCCACATTCATGTTGGACACGCTTTAATGTTAGGTCACCTTAAAGCAGGTCCAACATTAATTGGGTTTTTGGACCCTGGTCAACATTAGGCTTGAGGGCACGCAGGGCAGTTGCAGCTTGCTGTGTCAAATTGCGTTCCGGCAGGGTGGAACATGACCCCCGGAAAACTACTCTAACCAGGCATGCCATGTTTCATTCTGGTCCGTGAGGGAACCTCAAACCAACCACAGAAACGGAAAGAACCTGGAAGAGGGTCCCTCATGAAGCCACGCTGCGCTTTGGCAGGAATATTTCGCGATTTTGTGGCATAAGTCAATCTACCCCCCAAACATGGCAGACAACTGCTACGAAGCGCTGGGCCCGAACAATCGCTCGCAGGGTTAGCTCCATTACAGCAGCCAGCAGACACTGCGCAAGTAGCTACGCCCATTTTGCCGCTGGAGACCAGTATGCCGGACTAGCCCCAAGCCTGGCGCAAGCAACGCAAACGGCAATTGGAGCAGGCGGGCGGGCGAACAAGTTTGCTGTCGCAAACAAATACTACAAGCGCACAGGTTGCTGGTGGCTGTGATGGAGCACACGCAGAAGAGAGCAAGCATGGCCGTGCCTAAAGCGGCAAGACGCCTAGTCAAGGGGCTTTCGGACAAGCGATCCCTGTGCTTCCAAAATTTCCCAGCCAGGCTTGCGCATCTGACAACACTGCCGCCCTTGCAACAAGCAAGCCATCACCTAACAAGCGTGCCAACTCTTCCAATTGCTCAGCATCCAGAGAAGCGAAGCGCAGCGCTGGCTTGGTCAACATATGGAACAGCACACAGCCAACGTGCCCCGGTAGTGAAGCAGAAAGCTTCCCTGTCAGGGACTCAACCTGTCAACCAAGCTGCCAGCCCGCGCAACGCTGGACAACCCGTTTGCCAACAGTGCCATGTAAATGGACTGCCCACCGATTGATTGGAAGGAGGAGCCCACCAAGACAACGGCTCCCCAAGCTCGCAACAGGCAAGCCGCTGCGTGGAATTGCGCAGCGAGTAGGGAAGAAGTTGAGCAGTCGTCCACGTAAATTGCCGGAAAGTGCGGGCTGTAGAAGGCGCGCAATCTTTCAAGGGCAGCCGCCCACGCACAACCACCAGTCGCGGTGTCCTGGACAGTGAACAAGTGTTCCTGGCTCCTCCTGGGCCACCCTGACACGCTTGTGAGCTTTGCTCACATTGAAGATGCAACCAGATCAATCACGCACGCCGTGCCGGGCAACAAATTCCGACACATCAGCCAGCAACGGCAGCTCCACCTTCGTCTTCTCCTTGTTGGAACTTCCAGTGGCTCCTTGGTCTTGAGAGCGTGTCTTCGCTTTCTGGCCCGCGGCGCAATCCTGTCCCCCTCCGCCCCGACAGGCAGCCATCGGTCCGCCGCACTTTGCCAACCTATGCAAATTCTCTGCTCGCCTGACGCGGGAAGCCCCCGCGTGTCCGTAGCCTCTCTCGGGCGGGCGCTTGTGGTCGAACCACAGCCCCTCCAAGGGCGCTCTGCGCATTGTCAGGGCGTCTTTGTCGATGTTTCTGGTGAGGCGGAACTAACACGCGCCTGGCGTGACACTCGAGGGACTACAGTAGCGTGTGTGCGGTCGATCTTGAGAGCCGCCGTGTTGGTGACCGTGAGGAACGTTCGCGGCGCGCTCCAAAGGCCATGCGTGCCTTGACAACCGCGACTGCGGATTCTGCATCGCCCCAGTCTGTGTGCCCCGAAGAAGCCCTGCAGCGCATCCCGGCTCGGCTGTTGCACTCTGACACCCTGCAAGAAACGCACGAGCTCAGGGTCGGTGCTCCTGGCAGATTCGTGCTGCTGCAGCTGGATGTGCCGCAGAGCTCCGGCTTCGGACATTGCCATCAGTCTGCTCTGCAAGGGGACGTCGCCGCTGAGTGGCTGCAGCTGATGGAAATACGGACTGAAAGTGAATCCGGGCTGCGAAGCTCAACTGCAAAAAATCAAGCGCTGACTGTTAACAGTCAGGTGGATGCCACCCCACGCTCTGAGCTACTTGGCTGATAGGCGTGCGCACTCCGTCCAGCCAGTCAAAGCACTGCGGTTGTTGGAAGGCGCATCTGCTCTGCCTGACTCCGACGCTTGAGGCCTGGCAACTTCTCCCGCATGTCTTTGTCAACAACAATGCTAAACTAGACCTCCCGCGGAGCCTGCTGATCAGCCTCCAATGACGGCGGGCGCAGGTACTGTCCCAAAGCAGCACGTAAAACTCGCGCCAGCCCGACCTCGCAAGCAGGAGGTCCACAACCTCGTCATGGGCCGAGCGCTGGCGCCACCAGCCACTCCCAAGCGATTTGGCTGCCTTACTCATTGCCAGCGAAGCAAAACGTAGAAGCACAAGCAACTCAAGGTGCACTGACAGCTGTCACTGTCAATGGTCAAATACGATCGCAACCTGAACGTTGCCACGCAAGGAGACCACTCGTCAGAAGGCAACCCTCCTTGCCGAACGACCCCTGTCGCAAGCTGACAAGCGTCAGCGTGAAACGCGCTTGGTGGCAGCAAGGCCAGAAGGTCGCGTCGCAGTCGCCAACGCGGGTCGGATTCCCACACTTCCCAATGTGCAGATTTGTGAGAGGGGTACAAAAACCCCTGCGCAACGGTAACAAGTTGGACGCTGGAAAAGGAACACAAGAACCCGATGCCGCCAGTTGTCTCTTGTGGCTTGCTCAGTTGAAGTCACGAACCCCCCAACATACTGAGATGGTAGTGGGGGCCCAGTTGGCACAAACAACCGGCTCTCAAGCATTGATGGCCAAGCGCGGGTTCCTTGCAAGGGCAATTCGCGCGACTCCCCCCCCTTGCAACTCCGCCCCATCGCAACTCCGCCCCATCGCTTGCGCCGCCCCCAAACAACACAATGCGTGAAGGGTCCGAGACCGCGCAAGCGTTTGACGGAGGATTCCACAATGCCGGCTGCGTCAGGTTGGGCAAGAGTGAGACATCGATCGGTCTCCAGCGAAACAACGCACAACAGAAAGCGCCGCCTCCAAGAATCCAGGTCCAGACAGGACAGCCAAGCAGTTGCGCGGCATCACTCCAAACAGGCTGGCAACACTTTGAACATTTTCCACATGGACATTTCCGGCCATGGCACCAAAAAACAGGTGGCGTTGCAAGCCATGCCTTCTGCGAAAACAGCAAATTTCTATTGCGCTAAGGAGCAGCCACATGAGTTGGATTTTTTGACTTAGACCCGCTGCAAAAAGCTATAGCTGGTGAGTCGAGGAAAATGTGTTCCGAAAGTTAAAGTGCACAATCGGTGACAGCCAAGTGTGAGTACCCAATAGCAGGGACGCGAGAATGTCTCAAAACTAGGTGGCCCCATCCGAATGTCCGATTTGCCGTTGGTTTGTCAAATCAAAGAGCAGCGAAGCAACTGTTCGGCAATCACCCATACCCCCGCTACATACCGTGAAAGAACCGCATTAGAACCAGATGTTCAGAGGGTCCAGACAAACCAATTGTTGGACACGCGAAATGATTAATTATAGGCTCTTTAGCTCCCAGAACACACCCAAGTTACACGACCCACGGGGCCGATCCTACTCGCACCACTGCCCCACCCCCGCGCATCTAGAAAACAATCGAAAGCTCGGCTTTCTTGTGATTCCCGTGACAAACATCTGCTATTTAGCCAAAGCAGATCTTCGCTTAAGCCTGTTTCCCTGGACAAGTTCTTGAAGTTCCGAAGGAAGGACCTTCATGGGATCCGAGCTCGTATTTGCCCCTGAACAATGATGTTTGTCAGCAGCTGGCCTCACTTATTCAAAGTCATCCAAAAAAGCCACCAACCATCTTCCGACTTTGACCCGCAGAAATAGTCAAACCAAAAGCCAAACCAAACCAAGTTTCGGTCAACCCCCGAGGCCAACGTGTTTCTTTGTTGCTGTTGACCCCCCTGCAAAAAGTTTAACTTTTTGGGGGTTTAATGGAAACCCCCCTTGATTTCAACCAAAAAGTTAGTCTAAAGATCCAACCCAATAGCAGCCAACGTGTTTTTTCCACTTTCTGTCACCCCCGATGCCGACCCCAGCCCAACGGATCCGGCGTTGCCACTTGCGCCATAGCCAGGGGCCCACACCCATAGCCGCCAGGCCAGTGATGAGCCCTGCCTCCGCCATAGCCTTGGGCATGGTCAGCAGACCTCCGCTCCAGCCACACATGCAGAATGTGGAAAAATAGATGTGCATATTTGTATATATATATATATATGTTTTTACATATATGTATCAATCTATGTATATATATATAGGTATATATATATATATATATGCGTGTGTATATATATATATATATTTGTATGTAGCTGTGGGTCAAAAAACATCAAACTGGAATTAGGACCCCAGGAAACATATATATCTCGTTTTTTGCCTGGTTAGTGGAAAACAAAGGGGACCCCAAAAAAGCAGAAAAGGAAAAAGGATAATTCAAGGGTTGAAAATAGGGACCCAAAATGGAACCCTGGCAAATGGACACATGGACTAAAACCTGCGGGTTTCCTGGGGATTACTTTTGATCCATACCCATATATTGTATATATATATATATACACCGATAGAAGAACACACCAGTATGTGTAAAACACATACTTGTGGAAACAACTGTCATGTGTGAGCATGCATGTATATATGATATGTACAAATATGCACACGTGCACGGAAACTAGCCAGTAAACATCACAGCTACTGTGCGCCAATCGGGCACTCAGCGATGGGTGATTGCTGTTTTCCGCGCAAGGCTGTGATGATTTGATGATTTGGGGTTTGCTGTTGTTTCCCACTGACCAAAGCCACCCTGACCCCCCTGCAATGCTTGAAAGCGCCAAAAGTGACATCCGAAACACGTCTTCCAAGCAACTGCTTCGTGTCTGCCCCTGGCACAACCTGCCTGCTCCCAGCAGGTTGTTCAGCAGGTTCAGCATCGCCTGAACCACCAGCTCCCTACACCAATTTCTCTCGAATCTTCGGTTTGAACCAACACCAAACAACTGAAATCTCGCGAAAAGGTCAGCAGATCCTCGAATCGAAAAGTTCAATTGAGTGAGACCTGAGCCAGGGGTCGCCATACAGTTTGTCAGTTTTCCTGCCCCGCATGTGGGTGATCCACATTTCAGAAAGAGATTCCATCCACAAAACGAAGCAAACGTGCTGGACATGCAAAAGGTGAGGAATAACACCTTCCGCGTTCACATGAAATCCTTGAAAAGAAGTCCATTGCCCAACATGAGATCCCTCTCATGAAGTCTCATTTTTGTCTGTGGGGGGGGGGGGGTAAGGTGGGAATCAGGTCAGGGACCTTTCCCTGGCTCCCCCGAATGCATCTCAGAAAATCACAAGCCATGTTTGAAGGCATGAAGGTCGCACAAATCAGAAAGGTCACACAAATCACAAAAATCACCTGGAATCCCGAAGCGCCATTTAGGATAAATGAAGAACAATTCTTTGGAAACAAGTGGACACCAACAACACAGTCAGCTCCGAAGCTTCAAATGTTTTCTTTTGGTTGGATGGGGATTTCATTTTCTTCCTAGGTCCTCCAAATGGACATGGAACCGTTGGGGCGTGGCCTTAACTCTGAATTGTCCCCCGAGATGCAAGGTCCTTCGTCTTGCGACCTGCTCTGCCGATTCGCGGGTGCAGCAACTTTCCGAGTGGTTCATAGGGATTTTCTGGAACTCGGGAGCAATCGACCGGAGGCTTGTCATGCCTTGAAGGGGACATTGGTGTCTCCAAATGACCAATTTGAGAAGCACCTGCTTACAAAATGGGAGTACAGCGTCTTGCGTCTCCAAACAGGCGGGGCTTGGTCGGAAGGAGGAAAGGCGGCGAAAAACCTGTTCTGAACAGTTTTTTGCCACTTTTGTTTTCTTCTTTTCGGGGCGGGGTAGGGGGCGAGCTTGTCGTAGAAGTGCGAGGAACCGAGGGCGCTTTCTTTGGCCGGTGGATTCCGGGAAAACCGGCCCCAATGGTTGACAGAGCTTCTGCTTGGCCAGAACTTTCACAAGACCCAAACGACAACAGCGAGCTTCTTGCCGGAATCTGATGGACGTGAAAGACCTTTGATCGGGGGACAGGGGGGAAAGGGGAAAAAACCAAAAAGCTTCGACTTGGCCAGAGGTTTCAAAAGACCCAAAGACCAAAAGTGAGCAGGAATCTGATGCAACACGCGAAAAAAGGGGGGGAAAGGGGCGGAAGGGAACACCTTTCATCTGGCCAATAGTACCTTAAAGCCGATCGCCAAATCTTCGGCTCCCAGCTAAGCCGGCCTCGCATCGAGTCTGTCTCCCTGAGTGCAGCAGGGGGTAGAAGAGGGCCATGTCCGGCTTCCTGAGCCGCAAGGATGGAGCTTGGGGGTTGAGGGGTGGGCTGGGTTTGGGGCTGTGGATTTCTTTAGGTTTTTGCAAAGGAGGTATTGTGTTCCGAAAAAGGGGGATTTCTGAAATAACTGGAGGCTTCCACGCAGCGTCCCTCCAACACGATTCCAAAAAACACCTGCAGCAACAGAAGAGGCACACCCGCTGTTATGAGGTTGCACCGGATGCCCTACTAGTGGATTCCGAGAAGATCATATTAGTTAAAGGTTCTGTTTCCTATTTCGTCTACCCAAAGATATCATCGAGTGGAATTCCTCTTTCCCAGGACCCGAAGGGCCGACATGCGGCGAGTTCCGAAATTCGCATGAGCAAGTGGCTCAGTTCCAGCTGACAGGTCAGAGCCTGTACCTCAAAAAGGAAGCCCATGGGCAGAAATAGACCAAGAATCAGCCCATGAACACTTGAGCCACCAAGTTTCTCTGCCACTTTGGTGGAACCTCAGAAATGGGAGGTCCGACTCCCATTGCGACTTGCTATATGAGAGAAACCTCACGGATTTTCCTGTGGCTGTCAAGGGCTGATCCCCCAAGAAGCGCCGATTCCCCAATCCCCGTCCAGTGGCGAACATTACGACGAATCCGGCCTATGAGGGGCGAATACTGTGGATGGACGAAATCCTGCACCACTTGGAAACCGTGAGAAACCATTGTTGCTTGGTATTTATAGGGGAATCACCGTTCCAGGGTTTCTTAGGTGGTGCAGGATTTCGTACATCCACGGTAGGGTTCGTTTTGGGTGCCTTTCTTTTTGGTTCCCAGGCAAAGGCCACTCGTCTCAAGTCGCTTGCCCAGCGGCCAGGCCGCACCCAAGCCCGAGAAAGATGTCGCTGGATGAAACAAACCTTTTAGCCAATGGCATTTGGCTGTGGTTCAAAAATTTCGACCCATACCCATTTGACCAGTTGCCAATCAAAAGAGCAGGCGAAATCTTACCTAACGTGGCAGCCACATCACGAGTTGCTCCATCCGGCAATCTCCCGATTTGAGTGATTTCAAACGGGTGTCCCCCATGGAAAACCAATTCCTACCTTGTAAAAGGTGCCTTCACGCGGGCATGTCTTCCTTGCAGGGAGCCCTGATATGTGGCAGACACGCCCGGGTTGGATAATCGACGTTACCCCAAGGTTGTTTGACCAAGGCACATGAATTGCCGAAAGGATGAGGATTCGGAGATTGAAATTGAGGGTTGGCCAATCAGATGTTGCCTAGGAATCAAAGGACCAAAGTCCATTTGAAAGCTCAGGCAACTAATGTTGACCCAGGATGAAAAAACACCCTCCCATTATTAGGGGGGGTGTTCCCTCCAAAAGTGATGAATCCCCACTAAAAGGGGACATGCCCCTATTAATCAACCTGGGGTTTATTAATCCGGGGTTAACATTAGATGGCAAACAAGTCAAGCCGATTGCCACGGGGCGCACGGGCCCTTTTGCTGTTGGCATCGAGTATTCCAAAGACGTTCCTACGAAAAGCCTGGAGGTGGAAATGGATTCATGAAATACTCGCCATGCGGGCCCAGGATAAAACCTATACGGGTTCCCACATGGAGCCCATCAGGTGAATAGTGAAGGACCCACAAGGGCCTTTTTTTGAGGTGGACACCCCCAAAAATGTGGCGTTCCTTTTGGTTTTCGTTTTGAAACCCAAAATGGGCACCCTCAAACAAAACAACACACCCACACGTTAGCACATGGTTCAGTTTCAGAGCTCGGCAAGGCTGAGGCCCTTACCATCTGCTCTGGGAACCTGGGCGCGATCTGGTGAGCACGTTTCTGTTCACATCCAGGGTCTTTAAAAGAAGGGTTTGGATCTTTTGGGTTCGGACACCGAATTTCATCAGTCTCTAGGTTGGTTTCCTTTGGGCGCCCCTTTGCCCCTAACAGGGGTACCCTCAACACACCCAATTGCTTGGCTGAAGCCGAGTGCTTCGTTTTAGCAAATAAAAACCCAAGGCAGCACCAGCCAGCGCTCTTTGATACGGATGCCAAACAAGGGGCTGATATGAGGGAAAGCAACGCACCAAGTTTCCTTCTTGCCTGTCCCGCCATGTGGCCATGGGCCAAAGTTCCGTACCCCCAGTGAACATCCTAATCCCCACGAAAATAGACCAAAATTTGGGTGGTGCACCTACCCCAGAACGGGATCCCATTGGTTTTGGTGAAAGCAAAAACCCGGTAATTCAATGGTCTACCCAGAACCATGCTTTAAGAACTAAGAAGGCGGACTTCCGCAGCTATTATGGTTGGGATTGTCCCTTACTACCTTCATCTACCTGGGTTTTGATTGTAGCTCAAGTGGGCTTTGTGTTCTCATGCTTTTTCCAGACCGCCCGATTTTCAGATTGCCTTGGGTGATTGGGAAAATGCTCCTGACCTCCTTACCCCTCGTTGCGGGCACGCATCTGATGTAGCTCATGCGAAACAAAAACGGCGCCAAGGCAACTCCAACATGTTGCCTCGACCCTCCCCGCCTGGATTTGCGAGGTTCTCCGTGGGCGCCTCGGAGAGCTCCGACAGGGTCTCCAGGTCGCCTGCCGTTTGGAGAAACGCCCATCCGATGTAAGTTAGTCAGCTACCTTAGTAAGTTAGTACAGTTGTGCCTGGTTTACCTCAGTTGCATGAAATTCCTCCCATTTTTTTTTAAAAAAAATCTATTTTTTTTTGTTCTTCTTCTTTTAATTTACCTCAGTAAGTTAGTACAGCTCTGAGGGTACCTTCCATTTCCATTCTGAACCCAGGGATCCGAATCTGTCTAGAAAACCTCAGGAAACCCAGGGAAAACGGATCCGGTTGTTGAAAAGAAGGATGGTTGAAAAGAATGGGGAATCAGTCCCTAGAACTGTTGTGCCTGGTGTTCCTCAGTTGCATGAAAACATTCCCAACTTTTTCACACACCTGACATGTGGGTCCCTGTAAAAGGAAAGATGATCTTCCAGGACCCCCAAACCTCTGGTTTGTGAAAAAGGTGGGAGAGTATTGCAAAGCCGCTACGAGTTTGGCCGGTTCCTTGCGTAACCCAAGTTAAGGATTGAGGATTGCCTTATCGGTCAGCCCACCATGGGTTTGTGGTTGGTACCCATCGAAGAAACTCAACCAACCTGGTCAACTTTCTTTGCCCTGTAGGATTTACATATGTTCTTTGCTCATCATTTCAGTCAAAAGATGTAAGACGCCCAACATGTCGCAGACATGGGGTGAATTTTAAGGGTATTTTAGCTTGGGGTTGGGTTTGGGTCAGCGTCTGTGGACAAATATAATCTTGCAGTTGGGATGGATGGAGCCCCAATGAATAGTGGGAGACTTAAACGGATCACCCAAGTGGCGCAAAGTGCGAAGTGGTCTATCAATCCGCAGGTGAACTGATACGGGCTTGTGCTGAAACGATACGGGCGCCCTTTTGGTAACAAACACCATAGGCCCCCCGTGTTTTGGTCATCCAATGGTGAGTTTGCTAATTTGTCTTAAAGGACTTGTTGTCAATGTTCTTTTTGGTTTCTCTTGGCAACTCTGGTTTCTTTTGGTAAGAAGCCGATCTTTGTCTTTGCCAAGTTTGTACCCTTCCTTACCTTTTGGTTACCTTTTGCAAGCTCTGTCGGCCAGACTGGATCTGCGGAACGTCTGGCCAGAATCAAACGCCAACCTGTTTGAATTAAACCTCGTTTGCAACGTTAGTCTTTTGATTTCAACAAGGGGAGCTGCAAACACACCATTTTTCACAGCGAGGGACACAACGAAACTTGGTGAAGGGACCCTTTTTGCATAGCTGGGTACATCATAATATTTGAGCTGGAAATCAGACATGGAGCACGTGTGACGTCGCAAGCCGGTCTGAAACCCGCCGTTGCCAAAAAACCATCCTATCTGAATCTTATCTGGCAGTTTTCTCTTCTTTTTTGGTTTTGTGGGGGGAGCAGCTCAATGGAACGAGCTAGTGCCCTTCCGGACTGCCTTCTCGTTCATAGCCGGGCAGGCTGGGGCTGGGAACCTGACAGTCGCTTCAGCCGTGGGGGTTTGGTCGGAAACCACGTGGAAGCTGCGCAAAAACCAGGGCTTCAGATGGCGAATTTGTTGACCCCCTATTAATCAACCCCAGTTTACTAGGGTGTTCCCCTCCAAAAGTGAACAATCCCCACTAAAACTAGGGACACCCCCATATTGATAAACAGGGGTTTATTCATACGGGGTGTTCATTATGAAGCTTACTAAGGGACCCTTTGGTGGACATCAAGCTTCGATGGGGATTCATGTCCACCAATCACTTTTGAGGTGGTTCCCTCTTAGAATTCATGGCCATATGGAAGCCCCAAGCCAAAAAAGGCAGGAGGGTTTGGGATACGGGATACGTCAACCTCCAGGCTGATGTTTCGGGTTGAAGCCTAGGGGGGGAATGAGTTCACGGGCCAAACCGGCACGTCTTCAAGTGCAAGATACGCCACACCCTTTTCCTGAAAGGGAAGCCAAATAGAAGAAGCCGCTCATTTTCCAGAGCGTTTGCCATTTCCTAAAGGACATCTGAGCGAGGGTACAGCTGGAGCCTCTACAAATGTATATGTGCACAGAATTGGAAGGGCACTTTGGAGAGGGCCCCTTGTGAAATTCCAAGCAGGATCCTCTTGTGTTTCTTCAAGGAATATCACCCTGGGAACAAGGAACTCACCTGACGTTGGTGACCGCCATGCTACGCATCCCAACCCCCTGATTCTGTTTCCCACTAACCACTTCCCAATGAAAAATACCCCCAGAGTAAGAAAGGCCGTGCAAATTAGGTTTCTGATTTTTGTTGTTTACACACTTCAGGTTAGGAATTGGCAAGTTTAGTCTTGGAAAAGCAAACAACGGGATCTGGGCCAATAATATCGATGGGGTGCATTCATTGGGAAAGAGATTCAGGGACACCGCGTGAAGTATCCAACAAAGGGCCGCCTCAAATGTGGACCCCTGCACTCACTGATTGGGGGAATTGCTACAAGAACCCAAAGCGAGGGGTCTGTCATGCACCATATTCCAAGATGTTCATGGTCCAGCCATGGACTACCCAGGCAGAAAAAACCATCCGGGTTTTTGATTCGGGGATCAACTCAGGCTTGTTTGGAGTTGGGGGGTTCCAGCCAGATCGGATCTTTTTCTTCGCCCTCCTCTCGCCGAGGCTTTTTCGGCGCGCCAAAGAAGCTCCTGGTGCGTGGTCCAACAATGTCAAGGCTGGTTTTTGGGAAGTGTTTGGGTTGTCTTAAAAAGGGAACCCTCAAAATTGGTGGCGTTCCTTTTGTTTCCCTTTCAAGCCTAAAGACACGACATAATTCTGGGGCTGAAACGAGAATTATCGAGAATTCCTGCAATAAACCCTCATCAAACAATTCAAAGGATTGAAGCCAGGGATCAGGGGGTCTCATGGATACCCTCGTGGCAAAAAACTTCATGCGGTTTCTCCGGTGGCGTTTTCAACCTGCCCCGTGTTGCTGCCTTGCAACGCCTCCAGCCAGCAAATTACACCGGAGCTAAAGCAGGTGCAACTCCGTCTATCGGGGCTTAACCTGGGTTGTTCATTGCAACCAGTTGGACGCTACAAGGGAAGCTGCTAGCAGCCGGCATAAAGATTGTTTTTGACCAACCCGGTCAAAACGGCGTAACATGGCGTGACTAAACCTTGGGCTTTGGGTACCGAAGAGTCCTGTATTGAAGCTCTTTAGAAAAGTTGTATCCCGACAAAAACACGAAAATGCACCTGGTTTTTTGCTTGAAAATTGCGATTCTCGAGCCGGAACCATGGGAACGCACTTCCCCTACTAAAAAGGTGGCAATTTTTGCTTCTCCGGCTGCCTGAGCACACTTCGCGCGCAAAACTGCGAACTTCCCGAGCTGGAGCCTCTTCGCGTGCTGCTTTTGTACTTGAAAAACTGTGATTTTCGAGCCGGAGCTGCCGCGGACAAGGCAGGTCGAGCCCGAGACCGCGCTACTTGCGAGAGTAGGCGCGCAAACCGCGAGACAAATTCCACGGACGTTCCGCAAGCAAAGAGTACGCACAATCGCACAGCGGCGCAGCGAGAGCGCTTCGACACACGCGATCTCCGCAGATGGGGACTTTCATCTTGCAATGCTTGCAAATGAATGAAACGCCGAGCCTGCCACCACATTCAATGACTCTGTTTACGAAAATTCTGCGCTTGCCACGAACTCCATAGCATTAGCAAACAACATGCTGCGCCTGCCACAAAAAAGATGCCAATCTCACAGAATCGGCGCGGCGCCACTGCGAGAGTTCAGTGTTGAAGAAAGGTTCTCTTCGCGTAGCGGCCCTGCCATCAAAAACGCGCTTCCCTCTCAGGAAAAACGCGGTTGGCACTTCGTGTTCCTGCCATTGACAAACGCACCCTGCTCTGAGAAAAGCGCGCTCGGCGATTCGGCGTGACGCCTCCTGAAAACAAGCATTGCCCAACTCCTCCTCAGACTGTGTCTCTGCGCACTTTGTTGTGGAAAAGGCGCGTTTGGTGCGACGCTTCCCCAAAACATCTAAATCACAAAATAAGAAGCTACACGGCCCCTTTTTGCGCATGTTTCGGTCTCTGGACATACTGAGAAGGGCCCCGAATTTCGGACGCTGACGTGAACAAGACGCACCGCGGAACCGCCTGAGGAGCCTAGGGCGCCAGTGATGCGAAGCGACGGGATGCGTCTAGAGGCGCTGGGCGTAAGCCCATTCAGCGAAACATGGACAAGCGAGCTGCATTTGACTCAGTTGCCCAAAGGACCTGGAAACAAAAGGCTAACCTTTTGGGGCCATGACTTAAAATGGACCAAATCGGTAACACCAAAGGTTAAAAGGTCGGCTTCGGGCAACGAAGTTAACGCTTGTCCCATGGACTTTTCTGCTTCTACTTGAGAAGGCTGTGTGGACATCGAAACACACCCTGGCAGTCGGGATTTGGGGCACTGCACAGAAACGCGCCATGGCCGAAACGGCTTGCTTGAGTTCTGGTGATTGGTTTCTTTTGTTCGATATCCTGCAATGGCTGCCTACATTCTCCATCTAGTGCCCCGCCCAGGCATGGATTGCTTCACAACTGATCTAAATGGCGCCTTCAAGAATTATGGGTGCAAGACTCGGACAAGCACCTGTCCACTTCCATTGGAAAGTGGGTCAGCCCGAAAACCTTTGCATTCTTCTCAAACCCACAAGCGGCATGCAAACATGACCGACGCGTGCTTGAAACCTGGAATTTCACGAGCGAGTCCCGAACATGTCGCGGTCTTTGTAGGTTCTCTTGGACAATGACTTGAAACGGACACTTCTTTCTTGTGGGAAACACGTTGTCAGTGTTTGAGCGCAAGCAGGTGGTGAATGGTGGCTTTCTATTTGGCTCAAGGGCACCCTCGAGAAGGATGGTTTCGCTCGTGAGCCCCTCAAGTTTGAGACGCCCTGCCTCAGAGAGTTCGGAAAAGGAACGAATTGGCGCAATGTAGCTTCACCCTGGCCATTCAGCATGGGGCTGGGGGGGAGGGAGGGAGGGGCTCAATAAGCCCCAAAATAAGGCCCTACTAGGGGCTTACTAAGGGCTTATTTGGGCTCCCTCCCCCTCCCCTCCCTTTTTCTCCCAGCCCCCATGAATTCAGAAATGAAGTCTTTGAGAGGACTTTGATCAGCCGTTGGGCCGCTGGCTGCTCGCCCAACGCCTATGGAGATTCGATTGGGCGGGTAGTACAACACCCGCCAAGTGACATTGCCAGCTGGAAATGCTTTTGGTTGTTGCTCATGTGAGCGTGAGACCTTTGGCTTTTATCTTCTCCACCCCCTGTGCGCCAAGATAACAGGCTTGGCCTTTTGGCCCGCTTCCGGCATTCCGCTGCTTTAGCACCGGCAAAAACCGACCCCCCAACCCTCGAAACTCCTTGTGGTTCTTTTCGCAAGGACCCTGATGATTGTTGTGCAAAAACCTAGTAAATGGCGAAAAACCAACTGCCAACCCAGCTGAAACGGGGCCGTTTTGACCATAGCATGTCTATGTTTCCAAGGAAAGCCCTTGACTGAAGCCAAGTGAAGAATGAGCAAAACTGCGCGCGAGCGCGTGTGGCGGGGGAATAGACGTATCCAAAACGCACAACACTCTGAAGATTTTAGTTCCTTGGGAAGCTCGCAAGCTAGCCTGATCGCGACGCCTGGTTCTTTGGGTCGGCCTCACGCACTTTTCGCAACAGTGTTTTTGTGCGGCAGGCTTTCGCAAGGTCGGTTTCGCGGCAGGCGCAGCATGCAGAACTCGTGGCAGCCGCAGCACTCTTGTTCGATTAGATTGGACAATAGACAGATCGACGCATGGACTCACAAACAGGCCTCCCCATGCCCGTGCCATGGACACCTAGAATCTATTTTGCAACCATGAGCCCTAAAAACCAATACCACTAAAAGAAGAAGGTTGCAAAATAGATCCTAAGTGTCCAAAAAGCCCCCCCCCCCAAAAAAAAAAACAAAGAGAAAAAAGCCGCCGCCTGAGGCTCCGCTGCTTCGCGAGCTTCGGGCCCCTCACCTCGCCCTCCGCAGCAAGGCCGCAGCACAGCTCCCAGAGGCGACGGGCCTCGGGCCGAGGCGTCGGGGAGGGGACCCAATGCGAAATTTCTCGGCCCGGGCTCCCTATCTAGGTCCTCCAGCAGAGAGGTTAGGAATATGTTAGAATAAGGGTGCCGTTTCTTTTCTGTGTAGTCCATTTTGTAAGAACATTTTCCCCGAAAAAAGGGTAGAAGGGCACTACTGGGGGACCTAGCAATATTTCCCCTCCAGGCATCCGATTCCTGGGTATGGGTCAAAATTAATCCACCAGACCGCAGGTTTTGGCCCTTGTTTCCATCCGGGATTCCATTTCGGGTACATATTTTTGACAGCCACATCACTCCAAAAGGAAGCTCCTCTTCAATTGGAAAAAGGTGATGTCTAACACCAAAGGATTGCCCTGTTCCCTCCGATGGTTTGGGGGCCTACAAAGAAGCACCAAGGGGTCA